TTTTTCGAGTTGTGTGCAACGAGGCAATTAAACTGAATGTAACCACTGCCTATACGTTTGTTATAAACATCAATTCGAGTGGAAGTCAATGATTTTATATAAGTTTGAAAAGTTAAAAAGTTTCCTATTGTGTAGTTCTTATTCCATCAAACGATACTACGAAGCGCAAATTGATTCTCATAATTAATTAATGCCACTTTTGCTGGGGTTTAGGTGAACAGTGAGGGATGATTTTCTGAGTTCGAAAAACGATCGCGGGCAACGAAAGATTTCGAACGCGTCCCGGGAAGGGGGAAAGAAAGATGACGTAGGAAAAAAGGAAGAGAAAGGTCAGGATACCACGTTGCTCGTTCAGAACGGCAAACGAAGGTAAAGATGACTGGATAGATTCCTTAAGCGTTGCTCCAATCAGATCCCATGTCACTCGGTTCATTAATCCATTCAGGGTGTACTCCGAAAAGTCCCACGTTGTATTACAGAGTTACACTCGTACGGATGTAACGACGTGAATATGTAATGGCATTCAGAACGCGAGGAATCTCGAGCGTGACGAGATTCAATCAAATTATAATTGTACCGCGTCGATGTACCTTTTAAAGCGGTTTATGCTAAATCAAAGTTTGAATCTATAAATACGTGCTTGTTATTTTCGCGACGTAACTGTATTAACGCATTGAAAACCGGATACCATAAGCGTAAAGCCACTCACAGATTTTACCACGTGTGGAATTTGATAGCGTTCGTTTTAACTTCGACGAATTTCAGAAATACAAAAATGTATTCTCTTTCTTTGTCCTCTGTATGGTAATCTGTACGCTGCAAGGACATAAACTATCGTCGTTAATAATTGACGGGTCCAGAATCATAATGGCGTAGGCCATGTTTGTGTTGGTTCTCGTAAAATGGCGCTTTCCAATGCACTTCTTTAAAACTGCTCTCTTGTTTCTTGAAAAAGTTGTTGGTCTTCCCAATCTCTTCTTCTCTTCGGAATTTTGAGAATTTCGTATTCGTTTTAAGTGAAATTTGTTTTAAATAATCTTCGTTTACTTCCAAGTTTAATGATTTGTCACGTGGTATATGTGGTTATATATTCTATATAACGGAGTTAATATTGAAGATTTACACAATAATACACGCGAATATAACTCGTAGCAATATCTTACAATTTTAATTAAAAAATCTCATATTATTGGTTAATGTTTCTTTCGTACCTTCTGTTTGTTTACATCCTGATGTATGCTCTAGAAACTTCTTTGTCAAGTGCATAGTGACAGTCGTAGCGGTGTGTCTGACGATTTGGTCCAACGTAGTTTCCAGTTTTTCAAAGTATCGGAATCGGAACTAGAAAACAAGGACCCAGAAAGCTCAGACGCGTTCCGTGTTGATGTCATTAGGTGTGTTTTTGTAATGCCAGGTTACCTTCGATTATTTGCGGGACGGCTATCGAGAGAAAGAGAAAGAGAAAGAGAAATCAAAGGAAGAATGTGAAAGAGAAAAAGAGGGGAATAGGTGTATCGAGAGCTCCGCGGTAATCCGGCAGAGAGCAGCACGGTTGAAACGGGGATTTGCAAACAATAGGCCCGAAGCAGGGTGGATTCTTTAGATGGCGGCTTGATACGCATCGCATTTACATATTATTGCTATTATTAGGTAAACGGTCCTTCGAGCGCCTCTTTAACACTACGCGCTCGCCCTTCGAGGTATTTTACGAGCGACCGCGAGAGGCCCCCACCGATAAAAGCTGTGAGCCCCGTGGTCGGCTGTACCAGCGCCGTCTGTCGGTAGACAAAAATTGAACCACCGCCTGGACCGAGCGGGTGGGTGGCTGGAATTGTAAATAATCGACCGAATTGCTGGAAAAAGATTCTTATCGGATTTATACCCCCGTACCGTTCTATCCGCGCCGACTGCCAACGCTCGAGACACCTTGCAGTCACTTACGATGCCAGGAGCTGAAAATACTTTCCCCTTCGACTAGTTATTCGATACTATAACTTTATCCCATACCACTAAACTCCACGATCGGTTTGCGTTACTGGAAACACTAACGACGTTTTGCAAATATCTATCGAGCTCGTGTTCTAAAGATAACGGTCTGAAACATTCGTTCGAAAGACACGGTTAAGAATATTTTTTTAACGTACGTATAATTAACGTTTATTTTCTTACAATTCGCAGACCCCAGTTTGAGATACACTGGTACAGAGAACCGAGATCGCTTCTTCATTGTTGACCTTTGACCAGCGGATTCCGAGTACATTTTGACCTGTTTATTGTAACAACTGCGTAAAATGCAAATAGCACGTTTCATGTTTACCGTAGACACGGCTAGTCAAGTCGTAACACATTTGTCGCGACGCGTACAGAATACACGTTTGATAAGTTATCTCCCCGGTTGAAATGCGTGTAACGCCACGGTTATTGCACGATCGGCTTTTTAAAGCTGGCAACACTGGACCCGCGCGCATCGGAGTTCTCTAGACCGCGTGACGCCGGGGTCGAAATTAAAGACGCGGCTTTAGAAGGTACGGGGCCCCCGACGAAGTCGTGGAAGGCAAAAAGAAGGAAGGCGAAGAGGGATCGGAATCGCTCGATAAAACAGGGCGACGTTGGAAGCACCGATGGGCCCGGAACGATTCCGAAGGGGAGAAACATTGGGACCGATGGAAGGGGGAGGAACGAGTACGTACACACAATGGGGCCCAAGAAGAGAAGCCGAGAGCAAAAGCGGTGAATTAATTGTCGCTCGCGCCGCCGACGAAGCCGCTACGATCCGCAAGCCTGATTTGTGAGCCGCACGCGTGTATATCGTATGTGTATCTCCCCGTTCAACTCCTCCCTTTCTCCCCCTACTCCTTCATTTTCTCCTTCGGTCCTCTTCCCTTTCCATTCCTTTCGTTCTTCCCCTCTCGCTCGTCGTCTCCGCCGGCAACAAGAAGACCCGTGTAGAGGCCGCGACGATGGTGATGGAGACTGACAATGGAAACAAGCACAAAGAACGACAGAGTAAACAAACCGGAGAAAGAGAGACACGGAAGATGGAGGGTGAAAGAGGGCGGGGGGGGGCAGAAGGAACAGGAAACAAAAGCGGGATGGTGAGCAGAAAAAGGCAAAAGAAAAGGAAAACGCGAAAGAGAAAGAATCGTCAAGGAACCATCGAAAGGAGAAAGAACAAAGTACAGAAACTGAAAGATGCTACGAAAAATGCGGCGACCGCGGTCCCCGCGTTCCCCTCCCCTTCTCCTCGTGTCCCCCCCGCCCGCGTCGGTCCTCCTCTGCTTCTTCACTTCGCTCTCTTGTCCCCTGGTATCTCTCTTCTTGTTCGTTTTCTTTCCTTCCTCTTCTCTGTCTCTTTTTTATTTTTATTTTTTTTTATTTTTATTTATTATTCAATGGAGGCCAGGAGGTGCTCGTTAATTGATGGCACCGGCTATGGTCGAACGCAGAGAAAGGGAGGGAGAAAACTCGAGGTGGGTCTCCCCGTAGAAGGGGACCACGGGACCACCATCGCCTTATTTATAACGCCGGGGGTAACCGAATTCACGATCAAAATGCCGCGTTCCGCGGCATTGATGGATCGCCGCGGCCGTCCGCCGCGTCGCGGTGGCACTGGTATTTTCAAATGAACCCGCCCTTTTTCCTCGTCAAGCCCGCCATCGGCCAAACAGATTCCCTCCGCGCGGCATCATCGAATTCTGCCGGCTAAACCTGTCAGACGTTCGATTTCTATGTATACACAGCCTGCCGTTCATCGATCATGAATGTTTCGTCGACTCTCGCAATGAGATGTTGAAATATGCGTTACCGTTGCATTGACTTATTCGATTCACTCCTTTGTAGCGGTCGACCTTGCCTTCGAATGATTTAACGAGTTAACGCAGTGGTTCGTTACCTTTTTTTCTCTGCGCAGACCCCTTTCGGCAGTCTAATGGAGCTTGCTGGGCCCTTTCCGTGCAACGACGAGCACTGCTCGATTCCGTTGCAATTTTCCTTGTTCCCTGGTCTGTAATCGTTCAACGCGCAGCACTGCTGTAACTGTCGCGTTACGCTTCAGCAGTTCACAACGAATTACTCCTCTTCGATCCCACCATGCGCGAGAATCTTCTTTCCACGAAGGGTAGCTTCTGGGTTCCGACCCAATTTTTTACTCGTTAGCCTAGAATCGTACACAAAATTCACTTAATCTGTAAGATAGTATGTACTGCTCGATGAACCAACTATGTTTATAGTAATACATGTATTTTAAAGAATGTTTCGGTAAGAATACGGGTCCTCTATAAGTGTATATTCTTTACGCACAGTAGAGCACTCCGATGGTAGAAGATTTGGATCACGAAGGTTCGTACATTTAAGGTTCTGCTGTACTTAAATTCTATGTAAGATAACATGATCGAGTGTACCTCACATTCACGTTTCCTAACGTTGCCATTAAAAATAGCGTTTAAAATAATATACAAAAGTCGCATCGAAAGTACGACGGTTTCACGTAAATAATTTCCAAAATATTAAGTAATCTGGTACGAGCATAACAAATTTTTCAAGAAGCACAAAACTCATAAATATGTCTGTTTAAACAAATTTAAATCGCTCAGATATTTTCTGTTGAGACACGTTTATACATTATACAGGATGTAGCACTGATTTCCGTACAAATTTTGTAGGCGTGTTCTCTAGCTAAAAATAAAACGAAAATGTCGTATAAACGCAGAACCATAAATACTTTGTTGAAAATTTATGATCGTTTATATGACATTTTTCTAATTGGACCACAGAACACGTTGACAAAGTGTACGAATGTCTGTGCAACATCCCTGACACGCTAACGGTATCGCAATGTCTTTGAGTGAAACACTTGAGAGGGTTGCAGTTTGAAAGCTAATCGTGTTAAATGAAATCAATTTGTGGATTGATACTTTTTTTTGTATTAACATCCCTGCATGAGGTAAAACGTAGAAGGCGGTTGTGATTTAAGTTCAAACGTAATGAAACAATTTTTACAGGCTGCTGGGTCGTGGTTCCATGCACGTCTTTTCTTGTGAACAGTTTCAAAAGCTGATGGACGCGAGTGGCTTCCAAGGACCATGGTATTCCTTGGTGGACTTGGGGGCGGGCGACGGTGCCACAACCGCTCACGTTGCACATCTCTTTGAAAAAGTTTACGCCACAGAAATATCGCCACCGATGAGATGGGCTCTGACCAAAAGGAAATTTACGTAAGCTTCGTTCCACCTTGCAATACGAAATTAAAACGACAAACAAAGAGTTACTCGTATCCATTTACGATTGCATTCTCATTCCGACACTGAAACGAAAAAGTGTCCTTTGTAGAATTTTTTTTTTTTAAGTATACTATAAACACGAATTTGAAATTTTTTAAAATTAATATAATCGACTTATCAGAAGTTGGAAAACATTTTATAAGATCGTTAATTTTGTCAAAATTTACAAAACATTCGGAACAGTATAACTTAAGAAAATGCAACCAAAATGATCGATACTTGTTTTGAAATTACCAGGCTGCTTAATTTCACTGTCATCCGAAAATTAGGGGTAAGCGTAACGATGCTCTTATTGTTAATGGTACACGCTGGTTTGTAATGCCCCGTGGTGCACTAGTAACAAGTTTATTGCGCCGAATTGATTGGAGTAGAAGTTTACGGTGGTTTTACACCCCGGCTGTCTCCCCATCGATACGGACAGACCCCGGTTGCTTTGCTCGAATTGCTCGAATTTTAAATAAGTCTCTGCAGGGGTACGGGGCGCTCGTAACATTTTATAGAAATCCGTTTGGTCTTTCTCAAACGAGCCTGAACCCCTCTAAACATGTTTTGTCGCGCGTAACTTGATCGCGAATGAAAATCTGCAACGTATAAATAAAATATCAAGGAAATTTACGTCAACTGATTACTCCAGTCTGTACGTAAATATTTACGTGTTCTCTGGAATGCAAGAAGAAAAAAGAAACTAAAATGTACAATATAAAAAATTGTACTTCTCGTATTTTTCATATTATCTTTCTAAAAATACTTTTAACGGGTAAGACCACTGTAAAAACCTGAAATAAAGCGTATTTTTTTTTTTTTGGATGGATGGAAAAGTAAATCGATAATAATATTCAAGAATGTTATTAACCATGTCGTTAAGTGTTAAAAAAAATATATTTATTCAAAAATAGTGCAAAATGACGACGCTGGCGCCATTCTCTGCGGCACTCAGTGTAACTAACGTAAAGGGTACAGCCGAATTGAACGAACGATGGGTCATTCGACAGGTTTTCGACTATACCCTTTGTATCTGGAAAAAAATAAAAAATTTTCTCTTAATCTGCATGAGTATAGCTGAAGAAATACGTAGGGGATTTATGAAACATTAATTTCTGTGCGATTGGCGAGCATTTGAAGTAAAATGTTCAATTTTGTACAAAAAATGGGGCAATCATTTGTCAATAAATAATGTTAAAATTAAGATCCCCTACGTATGGACTCCATCTATACTAATATAGAGCAAGAGAAAATTTTTTTGTTCAACATTCTTGAATATTATTATCCTCTTACTTAAAAGTCGCAAAAGTACGCTTTATTTCAGGTTTTTACCTCTTACCTCTTGATTGACTTAACACTTTAATGGCCGCGCGTATCACGCGTATCACCACTGATATTATACACCAAAGTGAGATACACGAAGATGCCAGGAATATTATTATAAGGAATTCTAACCTCAACAAACGTATACGTGACAGCGGCCGTCAAAGTGTTAATGTCACTCTTTATCTCTTGATCGAGCACTGTTATAAAAAAAAAAGCTACATATTTACGTAATGTTTTAGGGTGCTCGACGTGGAAAAGTGGCACGAAACCGGCCCTTTCAGCGCCATACTCTGTCTAAATTTATTGGACAGATGCGACAGACCGAACACTCTACTGAGACGTCTGAGAACATCCCTGGCTCCCGGTGGACGTCTCGTCGTGGCGCTGGTACTTCCGTTCTGCCCTTACGTCGAGTGCGGGGCAAGGGACGATCACAAACCGTCGGAATATTTGCCGGTGAAAGGGAACGGTTTGGAAGGTCAGATCGCCAGCCTGGTCGACCGAGTTTTCGCGCCGTTGGGCTTAAGGTGCCTCGTGTGGAGCAAGCTGCCTTACCTTTGCGAGGGCGATCTCGGCCAGGCGTATTATTTTCTCGACGACGTGGTTTTCGTTTTAGAGGCACAGCCCGTTAGTACACAATCCTGCGAATTACCGATCGGGAGCGTTTCGAAAATCTCACACGCCAGAAACTTTTAGGACACCTCGCGTTATTCCGCCTCCGAGTGGACGGACACGGAGAGCCGTGGTAGGTGGCAACGTGCACGAACGAACTGGACGTGATCGGAAATGTTCGACGCAGGCAAGTCACACTTGTAAAAACATTTTAATTGATTGCTGTCATGAATCAGAATTATGCAAGAATACAGAAGAGCAATACTGGCAAGCGACAACGAGCTTAATGTGCAGATACAGCGGTAGCATTGGTGTGTATCGTATCATTAATTGTCCATTTGTAAACGACGAATGAACAAACGACGGTGCGCATTTTACAACGATCTTACTGTCAAAGTCGGTGCAGAAACTTGTACACGGTCTATGGTATAAATATGGCGCGAGAGCAATAAAAACTCGGAAACGTGTTCTGAAACGGTTCACGTGCGATCTTACATCACACATCTATTGTTTAATTCTCCTCGATACTTGATTTTTTTTGTACCCTCGTCAGACTTTGTTTCCGCGCTAACCTCAACTTCGTTCGGCATGTAGAATGTATTTCATCTAACTTGGTCACAGAAAATATCTTCATTGCAGTATTTGCGGCGCAGGTAAGTGCCTGATGTAGCTACCGGTTTGTCTCGAAAGGGCGAAATGTGACATTTCCAAGATCATATAGATCATAGAACGACGCATTTTTCAATATCAAGCTTTACTTATTTAATTATGCGTACCGCTGATCTCAAGATACACTTAAACAAAACAAAATTAACATTTGCATGGTAAGAAAAAAAAAAAAAACAAAAAATTACCTTAACGATAAACTATTATTCGTTATATCTTTTGCCCCTTCGAAACAAACAAATACCGTCCTAGATGTTTTCATATACCATCAAAGTAACAAAAATATTTTAAGTGATCAGGTTGAGCAAAACACGTTGCACGCTGCGGTTTAATCATGGATATGCTTAGTTATGTCGATACTCCGACAGCAAGACAAACGATAATACGTTTGCATTAGTTTTATATAGCTACTAGAAGAAATAAGTCCATTTAGTTGTTGTAAATACACTTTGGTGTGTAACAGGTAGTAATTGTCGAATTACTTAGATATTGCAGTAGCCTTATATTAAGATATATTAAATAACAAAAACATGGGCTATACAGGACTCAAATTTCTGTGATTTTTAACGCTTCAAGAAAATGATTTCGAGCAATTTATAAAATTTCAAATGCCAAATTTGGATAACTAAAAATTGTCTGCCCCCGTTCGTTAAAGTCCAGTATAATCAAATTTCCAGTTAACGTACAACTAGTTTACTTTTTATAACTTCAACGAATTTTGAGAATTTAATTCGTAATAATATTGCAACTTTTTTTTTCTTAAATGCCTCGATTATAGAACTAACTAGTACTAATAAACGCATTGTATTTTCAAATTTATGGAAATATATGCAAGTGATCTTGAAAGCTTGTTATCGTCTCCAGTACCTACAGATTCGATTTTTTCAATTTAAGGTACTGTACAAAATATGCCCACTTACATATATGTATGTTAATTAAAATATGAGTATTAAAACAAAAAATAAAAGCGAAACACGATATTTTCCGTTTGGCAATGACACGTTCACGAGTATGAATGAAACCGGTGTGAAAATCTGAGTCCTGTTAACAATCGATCGACACATTTTTTTTGTAGATATTGTAAATAAATATACATGCGTTTATAACAGACACATCTAGACAGGTTGTTGAGAAGACATATATTAGAACCGAGAGAACATATTACTTACACTATACCAAGTAAAAAATACTTGATCAATGCAGGCTGAGAAATAATCTTGCATGCAATTAATTTGCTCTCTTCCGTTCATTACAAATTGTAACGTGAATTCATTCATAATGTTATCTAACTTGAAGAGAAACAAAAAAAATGACGATTACCACGGAAACCGCAAATCACTAACTGTGCCTAATTAATTTGTTTCAACCTGCGTTGATCAAGGATTTCTTACTAAATTTAGTCTGTAACTAAGTATTTCCAAAGTCCTAAACATTTGTTTGTCAACAGCCTGTAAAAAGATATTTATACACAAACATACGTAGGCATTCGTACGTGTCCATATAAAATTTTGCTATTTCATAGCCGAAACTTTATGTTCATCGAATCCGCGTACAAACAAGATCCACGCATTCATACCTTTTTCCACGCACTCGATACACAAATTTATTGTTTATATTCAGAAACGTATAATCCGTAATTTGATATTATCGAGCAAGAAGGAAACATTTCACCATCGCAGATATGCGTATAACAATCGAGTTTAAAACGACTTTACTTCTACAATCAAAATAAAATGCATTCCATCGAGGGATATCGATCGAGATTACACAATATTTTATCGCGAATTTCGCGGTTCGCAGAGGTAATATCGCTTTTAAGTAATATTAGTGCACAGGGAAAATTTTGAGCGTCAGTGCGAATCACACTTTAAAACTTTTTCTAATAATGTAACTTGTTCTTGTAACATGCTCTTGAAAAATATCTATAAATTGTCCAATGATTTATTTTTTTTTTTTTTCACGTGCACACCGCATGTCACTGCCCATGGAGCTTATAAATTATTGCAAATTCTAACACTTTTCACTCTTGATTGCGAATAATACTAGACATAACAACAATATATGCTTGACTTATTCTCGTAAATAAACAATAATGCATTCAATGTAATTTTAAAGAAAACTATACATATATATATAAACATACAAATTGAATATTTACTTCAACTAGGCAACTTTGCTATGACTTTGGTCATTTAAATCAAAACGATATATCAGTTATGTAATAAACGTTAGAAGAATATTAAAAAATTATATAGTGCGAGGTCAAATGATAACAATTATGATTCCTTACGCCTCCATATTTAAAATATCCACAGTAATATTTAATTACCAAACATTTCAAACTTTTATAGAAGACCAATTTAGTCTTTATACTCCATTCAAACTTTCAGCACACTCATAAAATTTATCTATATAACTCATAAAGAAACTTTATAATACATTATTAATCAGGTAATCATTAGAACACAAATGGTGAGTTATTAAATCAATATATAATAATAAAATATAAATGCTGTTTTATAATACGTATAGTAAGCTAATTATTTGTTGCGTGGCAGATACTTAAAAATTATCTGACCGCTATTGCTAAGTAAGCCCCATAGGCAGATTGTAAAGATTTGAGAAAAAATCATAGCAAAAAGATAAAGCTTGTTTTAAATCTGAAATAACGGTGTGAGTTTCGATTGACTATATATAAATTTTTTCACTACCCACGTTTATCACAGTCCACGCATGACTCATTTTGTCTCTTAGTATTCTGAGGTCCTAAACGCCAACAACATTTGAGCAATCCTTCGGGTTGTTTAAATACAAAACACCCGTCTAACCCATAAACACCACATGACTAGAACATCATAGAGCGCAAAGACAAAACCTGGTCTAACACTTAGAAAGCGAAGACATTGTTTAGTCTAACTTGCGTTGTTCGCACAACTCTTCTAAACCTCCAGTCTTTCTGCATAAAAATTATAACTCTTTATTTGATATCTCTAGTCATGTAACGAGGGTATACTTAAAATATAAACCATAAGAAATACTTACAATGATGGGAGATAAGGAGTACCCGTATGATCTAATCGATGTTTATCTTCATTTTTCCAGCTTGATACAGGAATATGTGGAGGTGGCAGGAAACTTCTTAATGACTGCACAAGCTGTATGGTATCCACTAGCGCTGTAACAAAATGGACATGCATTTCAGTGTTTTCACTAACGAAGAAAGATAAGAGAAACGCTAAATAATTGTTAAAATAGTATTTAATATTTAACAACATTACGTGTCAATATGATATTATGCAAAATGTAATTAATTTATAACAGAAATTGACATCTATACATAATACGATATAATAAAATTTAAAAAAAAAATAAACAACTTATTATTTCTATATGTTGTAAATTTATCAATAATAACATTTGAAAAATATAATTGTTAGACTTTTCAGAACAGCAATTGGTTTAATTTGTCAAATTGACTAGAAACATAAAAACTCTTTTAAAGTATATATTAATAAATGAAAGAACCATGTGCCCTGGTAAATAAAATTTTTATATGAAAAAGCATATCATTTAAAATTAACCATATTGTTAAAAATTTATTAAAACAAATTTGAATAAAATGATGTTAATCATTTTGTCACGATTAAAATATTCGAAAACTAACCTCTTCTTGAAAAGAGAACGTGGTAATCCTTAGTAATGATCAAAGTAACAGATCGACACTGCTTGTAAGATTCTGTGTTTTATGAATTGACAACCATGTTATTGGTTTTAATTTTTCGAAACAATTGTATTTTTTCTTTTCAACTTATTGTTACATGTAGAATCCCCCCCAACCCCTCCCCCCCCAATCGATTGTCCATAATTTGTAATCCACTCTGAACGTAGGACATACAAAGCATGTGCATAACCAACAAAATTCGTCACGTATACGTATACTACGGCTCAATTTCTCAAATGACACTTTAAATAAATTATTAAAAAACGGATGATAATAAATGAAGTATTTTATTACTTTTCTGCAAAGCTTCTGATTGCTTTCCATATGGTTTGCACATTGCAGGACGTACACAAGCCTTCATCCTTGCCATATTCTTCATGACCTCTGCAAAAGCCCTCACTATCTTCTCTTGTCCACCTACAAAATAATAAAATTTCATCATTATACATAAATTCAATTTTGTACCGAAAAGATTATGCAATCTTTAAAAAACCTTCTGAATTTGAAGACGAGCGAGATCCTTTTTCATTTTCCAATGGCCAAGCTCCATTATGTAATGCTAACAGATCTTTATTTGCATTTCCTATTCCTTGTAAGTTCCCTAAACCAAGCCCGCCGAGATTGTCCAAATTATCCAAATTTGTTCTTAAAAAATCTGTTAATTTATGATCAGACATTGAAATAGTAGGTACTAAAGATTCATAATGCTGCTTCCCAGTTGTTACTTTCTTTTCTTGTGACACAGGCCGATGTGGTATATTTAATGATGGACGGCTTGGAGGACGTTGAAGATTCATTTGGTTTCCAGCATTTCTAATTTCTGATAAATCTGCTGTAGATCCTCCACCCATATGAGTATTTGGATTAGCACCACTTAAACTCTATAATGTAAATAAAACGTATAATTAATTTAGATACTTGTAAAGGAAAACCAAAAATGAGTATAAATTAATATCAATGCACTTATGCTTACTGCTTGAAAATCAGTATTATGAGGAAAGCTACTACGTAGAAGGGAGGCTGTTGTTTCGCTATCTTGAATATAAGTTGGCGCCATATGTCCCATTTTTTGGGTTAATTCCAATTGATTTTTGTAGTAACGACAAGCAGGATTTGGACAATTTTGCACCACCTCAATTATAAATTCTTTCTCCATACCAAAACATTCTCGTCCAATTGTGTATGATTCCATAACAGCCCTAACCGTGCCTTCTAAGCCTAAATGTAGACCATGTGGACCATTCATGTGCTTCAACATCACAGCATTTGCAAAATGTTCATAGGGCAATATTATTTTCCCATTCTCTCTAAGCACTAGCCTCCCCTGAGTGTCCAATGCTATTCTAGATGCCATCATTCTATTTATACATTAAAATATGTATATTAAAGAACAGAAAATTTTATACACAAAAACTATGTACTTCATGACAAATTAAAATATATTTTTTATACATAAATGTAAAACAGTGCATTCTTACTGCAAATAAGCAGCACTTGGGATCATAGACGCATCCTTGAATTCGGAAAAACATTGCAGAAGTTCTATGCTTGCATTCCAACCTTTATTTTGAAGATAGGCTTGTAATAACATATACATCTTCTCAGTAACATAACCAGCACTACTTGGCGTACCAGGATAACCAGAACCTCCGCCTGGTGGTCCCATTTCGGTTTGCATACCTTTGGCAACAATGTTTTTCATAGTTTCTGCCAAGTCCATTCTGTACAAATGGAACCATCTACTTTAAAACTTTTTACGCACACAAAAAACTGTAATCTCTAAAATTAAGAAAATTAAAAAGTACCATTCATCGACGGAAAATAAGATTAAAAATTAATAAACGGTTAGGTATAATGTAATTGTATCAATATGTAGAAAACTAATATAATTTTATGGCGATCGAAATAAGAAAAAAATTTTATTATCTGAGTAATTAACTCACACAAAAATAATTCAAAAAAAAAAAATTAAGATGTACAGTAGCCGTACCGATGCTAATTGACACATGTAATAAGAAAGGGTCAGGAAAATGCATGTAGGTTGCCAGGGTAGCAAGCTTGGCATTTTAAAAATCCATGCATATTCGAATCCTCCGGCCATTGTTATTTTCGGGATGAAGACGTCTAAAGAAACGATAAAAAAACACTGATGCGAGCCACCGCCCCCCTTTTAAAGCGGGGGGAATGAACGTTTTGGACACTCACCCCGTACCGAGCACAATTTTCACTCACTCGAAGTGTGACCGGGAACGTTACAAGGCCCGTTTATCACCCTAATCGCCGCTACTTGGCACACCCTCATTAATGATTCTTCTCACATTTACAAATAACATAAATCGCGATAATTATTTCCGCAACGATTGTTTGCGTCGCTGACCGCCAGGGGCGCATCGCCTTCACAATTTTTAGCGTATCCGTCCGTCGCGTATGAATACATCTACGACCTACGGCACAGCGGCATTTCGGCGCTTACGCGACGCCACTTTGCGCATTTATCAATATTGCTTTTTACAATTGATATCCCCTACCAGCTTTTGAACGTCTCTCAACAAATCAACAAAAAATAGACATTTCATAATATAATTTTAATACGACCTAGCTAAATTTAAAAATATTTGTAATAACATTCCAATAGTACATCAATTTTGTATAATTATCTATAATACATTTGATGACAAGAAGTCGTGCTGCACACAAGGGTAAACAGGAATGAGTAGAACGTACACTGCGAAACATAACTACAGCACCACCATAATTTGCTATCAATGGTGGAATTGCATTTAAAGACATGACGAATGCATTTAATAGTTTTTACATGAGTTATATTTTCGAATCCACGGTTTAACTCGAATTGACAGAAAAATGCAATTAGTATATTCCTATTCATAATTCTGTCGATAATAAAATTAATTTTTCTGTGATCGAATCTCGATCGAATTAGTAATTTCGCATGCGACATGAAAATAAATTAAATGATAAGTCTATATTCACAGACCAAATATACGACTAGACCTTACACTTTATGGACTTTGTGCAGTGTGACCAGATTTGATATACATAATTGAATGCATTGACGACGATACTAGTAACGACGAACTTCCTTAGTGCCTAACGGAGTAGTGGGGAAAGCAGCATATGTGTGCTACCGCATGGGCCGTGTGTACATGAGCTCGGCACTTGGCGCAACTTTGGGAAATCGAGAAAGAAGGCGAGTGTGAGCCTTTCCTTCTTGCTCTTCCATCAGCCGAAATTCGACGTCAATTGGTATATGATTTCGAGTATCGACTGTCCCAGCGTTTTTACTTTCCGATGTATATGTGTATAAGGGACTTGCTTACATTAAATGTTAATGTTTCATTTATTTCAAATATAAATATAATGACAAAATTAAAGATAGAGCTTTATAAATAAATATAAATTCTCTTCAAAATGTCATTATTCAAAAGATGAATTTTTATTTTACTTCATATGGCAAAAATAATGCGAACGAGATGAAAGCAAAAAGATAAAGTTATTTGTTACCGTAATCGAAGAAACATCGAAAAGTATGTCTTCGTAGTGAGGGTGAAAATTATATAGAATGACAATTCTTCCTGTATGAGTGTGATATTTAAATTTTCGTGACGAGTTAACCCGTTTCGCCCGCTATAGAGACATTTCCGAATATGTAATTAATATATGTACCCAGAACACACATTTGACATTTTGTATAGTTTGTTGATTGTATGTTTTCAGTTTCGAATATGTATGTGTATTTCATTAATTTAACTTCCTTATTATAAATAAATTTTGTGTATTTATAAATGCCGCAAATAACGTAATCGTCTGAATTGATGATGATTCGTATATGCTAATAGTATTTCTTACAAAGTGTGGCATTTTGTACGTTAATATCCTCTTACATCAATGCGTGTTAAAATTCAACTTCGAGAAAGATTCAAATTTAAATTGCTTATAAAACAATAGTGCCAATTACAAAAGCAGAAAAAAGAAATATTCCAAAGATCGTAAACATGGCCTCGCGGTACAATCACGGTGTTCAGCGAGTTTTAGCAAAATTAGAAGCGTCCATAAATTCGGAAAATTATTATGAGGCTCATCAAATGTATAGAACTTTGTATTTTAGGTGAGACCACTTAATCAACATCGTCAAATAGTTATTCTAGTGTATTCGTCGATATTACCTGCTTAACCTCTTCTTTTAGATATCTTGGACAGAAAAAGTATTCGGAACTTTTAGAATTACTGTATAATGGTTCAACCCTTTTATTAAAACACGAACAAGTATGTAACGCATTTTAGCATTTTTAATTTTATGAAATTTTAAGTATATATTACCGAGGGAAGTACTTTAAACTGACGTCATATTATTCATTTTCAAGTGTTATTTACAAACTTCCTTCTCAAATGGTCTATATTTAAAGTTTATTATTAGTTATCGTTATGCACATTATAGTTTGCATTTATTTCCATTGACAAGATTTTGTAATGCATCAAATCCTTTTTCCAATAAGTGAAAGTATGTAATATATTACAAATATTAATAAATTATATCATATGTTTTACATTACTTGTTAATGCCACATAGTAATTTATTATATGATAATTTGCATTCATATGTGTATATACATGTATATGTATATGTGCAAAAAGTACATATAAAATTAAAATAAATCATTTGATAAATTACATTACAGTATGTTAGCGGAGCTGACCTAGGAATTTTATTTATAAGTGTCTTAACACAGTCAGGAACAGAACCTTCTCAAAACTATTTTGAAAAAATTATAAACTTATTTAGTTTAATGAGCCCTTTATCGCCCGAAAGAGATGTTTTTGTGCAATCTGCCCTACGATGGAGTATAAAGAATACAGAATATAAGACGGGTCACCCTGATTTACATAAAAAAATAGCACAAGTATTTTGGAGAGGTAATCGACTAAGGGGACGAGAAACTTTGAACATATAGTTATAACTAAGAGTACATAATGATTGTTTTCTTAGAAAAAAACTACATAATGGCAAGACAACATTTCATATATAGTAGAGATGGTTCTGGATGTGCTGCAATGCTTGTTGAGCTTCATGAGCAACGTGGTTACACGAATGAAGTAGATCTTTTTATAGCCCAGGCAGTTTTGCAGTAAGTATACGCTACAGTAATCTACTTAGTAATGTAATATTCGTTAAAAATTATGTAAAGCCTGAAATGGTATAAATTTTTTCAGATATCTCTGTTTACAAAATACAGCAGCTGCGCAGGAAGTTTTCAATTCTTATACTTCACGGCATCCGAAAATAAATAGCGGCCCACCATATATTCTTCCATTGTTGAACTTTTTATTTTTTTTATTGAAAACAATTGAATGGTAAGTTCAAATTATTTATTTTTATAAATAGCAGCTTTTAATTTATGAGGATTATATATAGTATATAATCAATATTTTTCAGTGGTAAACTTGCTGTGTTCACAGTACTTTGTGAACAATATCAAATATCTTTAAACAGAGACCCATGTTATCGACAATACTTAGATAAAATAGGGCAGTTATTTTTCAATATTCCATCTCCGCGACCTCGTAAGCAAGGGCTATTTAGTTCTTTTTTACAATCCTTTTTTAATGACGTCGAAGACGAAGACTCAGACGATGAACAAAGAAATACAGCTTCAACCTCGTACACAGCACAAGAACTTGACTGATTAAAGGTTGTCTGTCACTGTGCAAAGTGATGAAAGTAAGCAATGAACTTATACGCGTGTGTTTCACATATTTTCAAAAATTACATTATGCTATTCTTTCAAATTTTTAAAAGAATAGTACATTGAAATTATTTTTTTTAAATATATTGTATAGATAAAATTATTTAAAATAAAAATATTCGGGATACATTACCAGAGGAATTTTTCAAAGTTGTAAGTTGTGCGAGTTCCAAACAATTCCCTAACTCAATTTTCGAAGGTCTTCAAAAAACAGAAGGCATCCGAGAAAGGTAACAGTTTCCAGCTTCTTTTTTCATCACTGATGTCTGTTTTAATTCTGTATTTGAACAAAATTATTTAACATCGTTATTTTTAACAGATTCCTTAAACTTAAACTTTGAACAAAATCCTTGCATTAATTACAATTCGTATATAACATACATATATTTAAAAACAAACGTGTAATTGAGTGTAATTGCTAAAACGAAGATTTATTTTATATAAACTTATTCGTGTGACAAATAAACCTGACATATATACTTATAGTTTCAAAAACAGAGTACTTAATAATATTACTTGTTGCTAAATTATTAAATGTGGTCAAGCGAATAGTGCATAGATAAATGTAGCAACAAGTAAAATATTTATTTATTCAACTCTACATCAATATAAAAAATATTAATATTGTTTAAAATTTCAGTAGGAAAAGAGATTACGTATTTAATTTAAAAAATTTAATTGCCATGATTCTGTAACAAAGCACTTTTTAGTACTATTAATAAGAAAAATATACTTTTGCTGTGTATTGAATAAAAAAAGATATGGAACCAATATAATTATAAACAGATTTATAATAAGTATATACATATATAGACATATATTGTATATGTATTCTTATAAAAGTACTTGTGTATACACAGAATATCCTTTCATTGTGGGTATAGAAGCTTATTTTTTCATAGTTTATGGATGCAATAAATATTGTATAAATATGGGATGTTCAAAATGTCAAAATTTGTATGATTAAGTTCCATATTAGAAACAAATTTCTGTTCAAAAGAATATAATTGTATTTATAAAATTCAAACTTTTTGCACTGTATGTAAGAATACTACGAAATTGCTTAATTTTTCGTACATTATTTAAAAAGGAGACATCAGAGAAAAGTAAGAAGATTGATTTACTAAGATCATATCGTACTGATGTTAGTACATATATATGGTCGCATTGTTGCTCCAAAAGCTTTTCACAATGAAGCATCGAGGAAATCCAAATGTAAAGTATTTGGAGTATATAAATATTTTATACAGTCCAATAGTCAAAGAAAAATAATGTACAAATAAAAGGTTCATATTATCTATAATAATAGAACAATTTTTATTTGAAATTTATTTTAACAAGACGAATTATACTACATAAACAAGTATATTATTTATACCTTTTAAAAATTAACTTATCAAGGAGATTAAACTAAATAAGTGCTATGAACATTATTTAATTCTATCAGTTATTATGTTCCTAATTGAAACCAATTTCCATTACTTAGCAACAGGATGCATGGTATCATTGTCTACATGTTAATTATAAACTTTAATATGTTGCTAAATCTTTATTATTATTGATATTAATGTGTCATTACATATTGATTTATTTAAAATTTTACTGAAACATTGATTAGCTTTAGATTAATGATTTTCAATTATAAAACAAATATAAAATTTTACATAAAAAAGAGTAGGGTTATGATAGTATGGTATAGTTACATATGAAATTAATAATTATTAATCAATTTAATTTAATGTTTTATTTAGAATTGCTACGACGCAAGTAACGATGAAAATATTGAAATGTTGATAAATAATACAATAACAGATAGAATTTAAAAAAGAAAGATATGGTAATTCAATTATGAGTAACTACAAATCCTTTCCGTATATGTAAGAGTGTAGGAAAAAGGAAGTAAAGTTTAAATATCTATGTATGTATGTATTTATTTATTAGTTACCCCTTAGGATTACATGGGCTTGTATGCCCTTCTATATATAATCCCTCTTAGAACCAATCCTCCTCTTCCACCTCTATTTATTTATTTCTATTTAATACCTAATACTTGCTACTACTTAATCCTCAATACTTATTACTACTCACTAACTAACCTACTCATACACCCCTCATGTTCCTCCCCATTCACGCCTTCTTACTCCTCCCCTTTATCTCTTAATTTTGGTCCTCATTCTCCCTCTCTTTCTCTCTCATACACACAATTACCCTTGTCATCCTATCTCATCCGTTGTTCCCCTATTCCATGCTTTCTCCTCATCATCCAATATACCCCCTAACATTTTTGTTAACCTTCCACCCATTTTTCCCTTCTATATCCCTGCTTAATTACTAGATAGTTTAACCCTTTGAGGACGAGTGTCGGCAAACAGCCGCCTAAGTCTTTTTACCATGGGTGTGCGAGAACTTGAAATATCGAGAACCCGATGGTCAGGACGAGTCGAGTCGAGTCGGGTCGGGTCGGGTCGGGTCGGATTCCCGATATTTCGGGTTCTCGTGCACCTCTAGTAAAAAGACTCGCAAAGGATTAATACATACGTTATGTATTGTCACCATTCCTTTCCTAAAGTCTATTTGATTCGGTGGAACCATTTTCTTTTACTTCATATCCCACTTCAGCCTCTCCACCAATCTCATCGTAAAGTTTAAATAGTTGTTTATATAATACAAGTTATATTTTTTAAAAAATTTTAATATTCTGTTAATAGTAATTTATAAAAATAAACTACAATTGGAAGTAAAAATTTGTCACACATATACATATAGAATACATCTGCATGCAAGTACAAATTTTTAGATTTTAGTATAAAAAAGTATGCTATCTACATATCTATCTACAGAAATACAACATTATAATCCACAATCTAATACTTTTAAAAAATGTTGTTATATATTGTTTTATATTTAATTTCTTAAGTACTTACATTTTTTAAGTAATTTATATTTATAAAAATATTATGTACTTATATAAATACATATTTCGCACCAAATTTGTATAAGATGTTGAATATATCTTTAATATGTATCATAACCAGGCATAGCAAATTGTTTGGAAAAAGTTTCTACTTCTTCTTTTAAAGCTGCAACTTTTTCTTTTATACGAGCATCTGTATTCAGTACTCTATTATAATCAACAAGTTGAGGGCCAGAAATGTCAGATACTTCTTTGGAAAGTAATAAACCTGAAATACATTTAAAATATTTATTACACTTTTTTAATATTACTTTTACTCTTTTACTTATACCACAATCCATTATTATAATACCTTTATGTATAAAGTCAACAACTTTATCAATATCTTCTTCGACTAAACCACGAGTAGTTAACGCTGGTGTACCTAATCTGATGCCACTAGGATTCAATGCACTTTTATCGCCCGGTACTGTATTTTTATTACAGGCAATAGAAATACTCTCCAAAATCTTTTCTGCTTTAGCTCCTGTAACACCCGTAGACCGTAAATCTACTAATAACATATGAACGTCAGTACCACCAGTACTTATTTTATAGCCACATTTTTGAAGACTTGAACACAGCCTTTTTGCATTAGCCACTATTTGTTTTTGATATGTAAGGAATTCTGGTGATTTAGCTTGTTTCATTGTTGTAGCAATCCCCGCGATTGCATGATTATGAGGTCCGCCCTGTAATCCTGGGAAGACTGCCTGATTGATTTTATTTTCTATGTCATACATAACTTTTTGTCCATTTTTCTTAACGCTTCTGACTCCCTTACGAAAGAAGATGACACCAGCTCGAGGTCCCCTAGTAATTAAAAAATAAAAAGATAAAAAGATAGTACTGTTTTGTTAATAATCTAATTTATATTGATTCTTTATTAATACTATACGTAATAACAATTACCTTAAAGTTTTATGAGTAGTAGTTGATACAACATCACTGTATTCAAATGGACTGGGAATCAATCCAGCGGCAACCAATCCTGATACATGAGCCATATCGCTAAACAAGTAAGCATTATTTTCATTTGCTATTTCTCTAAATTTCTTATAATCTAAACATCTGCTGTAGCAAGATACACCTGCTATTATAATTTTAGGCTTGAATAATCTTGATGTTTCAGCTAATTTATCGTAATCAATTAAACCAGTTTCAATATTAACTTTATATGGCATTGATTCAAAAAATATTGACGTTGCAGAAATTTTTTTATTTGCTGTAAAGAAACCTGCAAAACACATAAAATAATTAATAAAATTACAATATAACAATTCATAATATTTTTATTACCGTGAGTAAGATGCCCTCCGTCGGGAAGATCCAGTCCCATTATACGTCCATGAGGTTCAATTAAACCTGTATATACAGCAAAATTAGCTGGGCTGCCCGAGTATGGTTGTACATTACAGCCCCATTCTTCTGGATTTAAATTGAATGCTTCTAAAGAACGCTTCTGTGCCAATAATTCAATTTCATCGATGTATTCATTTCCTCCGTAATACCTAAATAGGAATAGACACGCTATTTTAAAAACTGTATCAATACTTGAAAAATACTAAATAATAAACAACACAAAACATACCTTTGGCCAGGAAGACCTTCGCTATATTTATTATGAAGACAAGAACTCAAACACTGAAGTACACTAAGAGATGTAAAATTTTCACTAGCAATCATCTCAAGGCTAAATATTTGTCTCTTTTTTTCTTTTTCCATCAAATCAAAAAGTTCTGGGTCTGTCTCCCAAAGATTTTTTTGAATTAAGCTCACCATTTTCTATACAAGGGATAACACTTTTTAAACTTATATAAAATATTTATTCTATTGAATAAATATGTTTATTTCATCGAATAATAATAAACACATTTACGTATACAATATATTTTTTTATTATTTAAATAATACATTCCTCCGACAGAGATATTACGAAACGATTTATACTTATTATTTTCACAAAGTTCGAATAATTGTAACCGATGACCCCATGTATAGTATCATGATACAGAGTTTGTTTACGAAGAGTTTTTATTATTCATTTATATATGTACTTTGATTAATAAATTGTAATATTTAAATGAAAAAAAAATGGTACGTTTTAATAATATTGATATAACGCAATACTATTGAGGTCGTTCATTAGATTGGAAAACATAATAAAAAAATATTCGTATAAAGATTGTGATTTGTACAAACATAATTTACTAATTAAATTAAGTTATAAAGACACTTACAAGTTCGCGTGTGCAACAGGTGGCCGTAAAGCGTACGTTACGATTTGAAATTCGAAACACTTCTGATATTTGTCCTTGGACAACATTATCTTTTATACGGTGCGCTCGAGTGGTTAACAGGTTTTCAACAAATTGAAAACCGCGCTGATTTAAATTCGACCAACACCGAATCATTGAGAAGCGTTTCCTAATTCATGTGCATGTAGATACTTTTTAAATGCGCAATGCAATGTTACATATTATAAAATACTATCTAAAAATCCAGTCTTATCACGTGTTCAACGATACATTCAATCATGCTGCCTAACCTAACAATCTTCGAGAACGAAAATTTTAAATCATCGCCGCTACAAAGCACGAATATGTGATACATGTAACTTTCAAGTTTAATTTGAAGCATATTTTAACAGTAAATCAAATTGAATTAATTTTTAATATTTAAATTTATTTAATAATCCATTGTATATGTAACACTGAAAAATATTTGCCTACCCAATAAACAATATGTTAGAGGGTCAATATGAAACGAACAACAAAAATGCATGATTGCGTTCGTTATATCTTTTAAACGCATACATTATTCCTCGTAATTAGTGTAACAGATCTATAAGTAAATGTGTAACTAACGAATCAAACTTTATACATTACACTATCAAATATTATTTAATTTAAAGTTATGCTTAAATGTAAAGTAACTTTAAACTAAACTAACATCATTTTCAACAAAGATAAAAACTGAAATTATAATTAAAATGTTGTGGCATTTCGGTCAATGCCATTTTTAATGTAAATTGTTACGATAAACAAATGAAATTTCTTATTAATAGAACTTCCTATTACGATATTTTACTACTACATAATTCAACAACTTATCAATATAAACGTTTATAGAGTTGTTAAAAATATTAACGTTTTTATTTAAATTTCTAAAGAACGATATTTATTAGTGCCTTACGCCTTCAGTGTATAATTTAGTATGTACTACAATACCTTTACTAATAGTGAACAACAGTAACAGATTTTACGCTTTGATTGTAACAGCACTGCTTCGAAAGTAGTTCACGATCAATATGTACAACTTTCTTCGGTTACGTACAAATTGTTATGTCTATCGTTTTTCAAACCAACGAAACCAGTCGACATTTTTATCACGACCTTTCGAAACTCTGGGGGGGTTTCTTGTTTATTGCTCTTCAATGAAAGACTAATACGAATTAATAGTATTGGATATGCAAACCAAAACAATTATTTAAAAAATTCTAAGTCCAAGTACATACAATTACGTTAAAATATAAGGATGGTTTGATAAATAAAAAAATGAATGTTTCAATATTCTTGAAATATTTATTTGAGGAAACCACATTTCACTTATTCTTTATTACGATCTTGCTTGTTGATCGCGCATTTTATCCCATCTTATGTAACTTTTATTTCTGTGATAACAAAATCTTGAAATTAGTCTTGCATTCATATACATCGTTTTCTTAAACAGCTTTTTGTACTGTGTCATAGGCCCCAAAACGTCGAAACAATTTGAAATGTAACTTAATCAATTTTTAGTTATAATCGGAAAGATTATCGTTTAAAAAATTGATGTATTACTAACAGAGTTTCTTGTTACAAATTCATTAGAGGAAAATTTAAAATCTGTTGAACGTACTGTACGTCTTGGTATTTTACCATCGATATAATTACATGGAAAAATTCGGAGACTAAACTTGGATTGCACTTCTTCGTTTAATAATTCCGACTGAACATAACTCGTTCTTTTCCTTTCCTTAAAATCCAGCCTACTCTTTATCATAGGAATAACCAAGCTTGTAGAAAGATAAAGCCAAAGTACATCGACAGTTAGGCATTACAATTAAAAAAAAAAATGTACGTATTTTAACTACTTTATTAAAATTTTTACTTAGTTTATTTATTTATTAAATGACACTTTAATTCTATACTTTAAAATAACTTCGATATCGTCACAACAACTAACAAGTTATCTGTGAATAATCGAATTATTAAAGTACGCAAAATAATATTTTCACACGTTTTACAAATGCCTGTCTTCCATTACATGTTAATCACACTTTGTTTATATAGTTCTTGATACGAATACGATATTTAGCAATACGTGGTAAAAGATTACAGAACGGCATGGGGTCAAAACAAAATGTAAAAAGCAAACTTGACAAACATATTTCCTTTACTCGGCAATAATAACTTCTTAACAAATAACTGATATTTAATATAATTACGTTTTATTATTATTATTATTATTATTTCCTTAATTATTTGTTAAATTAATATTTTTCAGCATGACAGTTTAAAAATATCGATAAGATCGTAAAATTATAATTACGAGACTGTATATTATTAGTTTTAAATTAAAAGTAAAATGCTGAATCTAAGATTCTATTTTTTACTCGTAATAAAATTTTAATATTAATATATGAAGATTTCTATAAGATAATTACAGTTGTAAATAAAGTTTAACCAAAATTTGTTCTCAATACGCAATTTATTCCTTTGAAATCGAAATTATTTTTTTCGTTTAGCAACATTCTTGTTCAACAAACAGTTAATTTATAAGCGACTACAAGACCATGATAGACAAAAATTTGAATTGAAACGAGGAAAGAAAGAAAACGAAAAAATACGCAGACAAGCTAATTGAAATTTTTCAACTCAAACTTCAATCGAGGCAATTTTTAGTGAATTTATTTAAAAAATTACATGATAGCATAGCATCGCGACTACAAGTGTATCTTACAAAACATTGATTCTTTTTCATATAATTACCATCTCTATGAAAATGTTCTTCAACAGAAGTTATTGTGAATATTGTTTAAATGTAAAAACATAGTAGTTGATGTCTGTGATAATATTGTAGTTTCATTTTACTGCAGGTGATCTAAAACTTTCAGAGCACTATATAATAATATATCATACATCATATAATAAATGATGTTTAATACACTGCTACGTAATTAAACATTATAAATGGTTGGTATTAACTTTTGCAAAATCAAGTTATATTACATAATTGATGAAAAACGAATTTGTAAAAAATATCTAAACATTTTAAAGTTATCACTATTTTCATATTCCATTATGTTTAACAAACGTTTTATGAATGGCAAGGTGTTATTAAACATTGCACATAAAAAAAAAGCTTTTGATAAACAAAATACGGTTAGACTGCTCGATAACAACGAATCTGAACAAAATAAATAACAAATAATTTCGACGATCACTTTATAAGGAAATATTAAATGTTATGTTATCAACATATTTACAATTTTAGTATTATTTAAGAAGAAAACCGATTTAATTACGTTTAATATTTATATACAAAACTTTTACTTAGGAATAAGGTCTTGCATAAGATTCTTATTCAAATGTTGCAGGTATAAAATATTAAGTTTTTTGTAATATTTTAATATGATCGATTAATGAAGTTTATAAAATATCACTGCCATAAACTTGATACCTTCATATTTCACCTTTAAAAATTTATTCTATTAATTATTCTAGTATCTATTTGATTTCTTTTAAGAACGTAATATTAAAATATACATATTAATGAGAATTCAAATACATAAAATAAAATTGCTCGCGCCAAGCAAAACATCAGTCAAAATCATAAAATATTAGTTCTTTTCTTTTTATTATCAATTACTTCTTTGATGCATGTCTGCATTGCAGTTTGCGTTTATTTGCATAGAAAAAAACTACTAAAAACTTATAGTTCAAATTTACAATCGCAATTGAGCAGCTGCTACAAAGTTAGCTGTACAAAAACACAGAAACGCGCTAGAACTAATTACAAGCATTATGTATCAGAAGTGCGTCCCATTTGCGGATCATTTATTACATATGAGTCTGATACTTTCATTTTGCAGTATAGTACAATAACTTAAACGACTCTTCCAATAAACTTTTTATGTTTTCGTGCAAAAAATACACAGTTACTATTAATATCGTCATAAGTATCCATAATAGCTTCAACTTCAAGATCATAATAATCATTATTGGTATTCATCAAGGAACGTAGTAACGAAATATATGTATACAATTTATATATATATGTATATACGAACTACAAAATGTAATCCATATTTCCAGAGTTCCCAAGTTAACATGTATGATAGTTTGATTTCCTTCAATTAAAGGCTGTCATTTTCATATGTAAATTAACGAAAACATTTTCTGTCTATGGTGTTTTGTCTTTACATTTTAATAAAAATGTAGTCAGGAACATCCGCAATTATTTCAATATCGTTTAAAAAAATTTTAAATTTCAGTATTTAAAAAATACCTTAGTACTTTGAGTGTCTTAAACTCTGTAAATTTCCATTAATTCTATTTTTTACATAAATATCTTCACAAAGAAAATATCATCCATGATACTGTAGAATATATTAAAATTAATTTTGAAAATAGAAGTAACTAGTGATAAGTTGGGTGTACAATGACATAATGTTTTAAATACGCATATCATTTAAATCATGATTGTTAAGTAGCCAAACTACCTGTACAATCACATTTGGATTTTTACAAACTATTGTAACACATCTTCACAACTAGTATGTCCAGCTTTCATATATATTACTGCACGTCGCATAGGTTTCGTATGTATTGTTCATTTATAGTAATATTCGCCAATCTTGGAATGCGCTCAAGAAATGTAACATCACGAAACACGATAATTGTTTCTCATTATAATAACTAGATTTGACATGCTTCTTTAAATTATATACTTAATATTGATATAAGTTATAATTTCAATCGAGTTGCAGCAATTCATTACCCTAACAAACTAACAGCTAATTTAATTGAATTAAATTTGTTAACTTGATATACTTTAAGTTTTCCTTTAAACTTTAGAACCTTCGCTCCATTTAATAATCGTAACAAACTAGTCTCTCAGAAAAACAAACAAACTTTATTTATTAAATAAATTGAATAAATTGCTTCATCTTCTTCAAATATTTAATAACACTCTTGGGTATTTCAGAGCAACGAAGTTTAAACACGTCTTGAAGAAAGACTTTAATCACAGTTAAGGCAGGAGAAACACTGAATAAAGTACGATTCATAAATAATAGGAGATCTCGTATAATATCGTGGCAAGTCTTCATGCGAAAAATATTCGGAAGTAGATTTGAAACATGTAATGAATTAAAAAAAAAAAAAAAAGAACTGTAAAATATTAATCAATAAAAAGACAAACTTAAAATAACGATAAACATGAAATTGTGAAATGATTTTCCTTTTTAAATAATAGTTTACCTCTCTGTATTTTTAATATAGTTACTTACATTCAATGCGCGACGAGTTAAACATTTACTATGCTCGACGCTTTCTTTTCTTTTTAAATTAAAATTCTGCCTCATTAATATGTTAGTCTACTGTTACATATTTGCAAAATTTTATAGTCTCGGTAAAATATATAGGAATAGGCGTATAAAACACACACAGAAAAGAATATATTCAAACGCAAAAAATTCCAGGGTGTTTGGAAGGCAATTCAGAAAATTTTACTAATAAATCACCCTAATTGGTGTTTTATAGTAAATTTTGATATAACAATGGACAACAATTCTTTGTTTAGATTGCTTTTAAATTAAGGATCGACAACGATATTTTAATGTACAAACAAAAATGCATATTATAAGAAATGAGCTGTTATGAACAAAATGTTAACATTTATTTTTTCGTAAAAAATACCACAGTGTGCAGCATGTAAGATTACAGGTTAACTGTAAGTCTGCGTTTCAAACATCCTGAATATAATATAAAACAGGTATATGTAGACAATTCTTCTCTGATAGTGAGCGTTAAGTATTACATCATGTAGAACAATATATAGGCATCACTTTGGATCTTATTAAATCAACACAAAGATTTTACGTGGCAGGATCAAATAACCAAAATTTCGAAAAAAATGAGCCTTTCTATAAAATGAATATTATGCTACATTTATAAATACCTCTTTGTTTCCTTACTTGAGCTCTCTTCATTCTGCAGTTGCAATCCATAATTACATTCGTAATGAAATACGTATTTAAAGAAATTCTTGCTCTTGATAGAATTGAATGCATTCAAAACACTGTCTTCGAAAATACTTTTTAAACGATTGCCATAATGCGGCAAAATAGTTATAAATACAAAAATTGATTTCACAGATAGAAGTTTCTAATCCGTTGTTGATGCACAGTGAAATCGACGTAGTACCATCGATCCAGCCACTACGTAAAATCCCTGTCGATTCGAAAGGGAGAAGTTCCATGATGCACAAAGTATCATTACATGTTCATTACACTCTCTTAATCCATCGTATACAAAGCATAGATTTACCTTTCGTTAACATGTCATAATATTAAAACCGCGCACAACCTGGCTGAAGAACCGAAAACATAAACGCATTTCCATTTTGTGTCAGACGTCGCTTTCTTACTATAAAGTTGTATAAATTATATGAGTGGCTGCCTAATTTTATTCCTCTTCGTATGATGAAAATTTAATTGTAAATTTTAATGGCCTTTTCGAGGTAGTTGATGCGAGAACGCTTTGGCGCTTTGTTGACGTGTTCCAAACCAAGCCAAGGCCTCTGTGGCGATGTGCCTGCTTTTAAAAGTGGATAAACTACAAAATTTATTCTTCATCAGCGACAATTTAAAATTTATACTAACAAGAATATGTGCTACATTTTCTACTGTCTTCAACTAACGAAACGTTGTGTTTTTAAATACACTTACTCTGGTTTGGATGAGTCTGGAAGTCAGCAAGATCAACAATGTATCCTGGCGAATCCATAATAAAGTGAGGTTTACCCATTGTCACCACCGCGAACTTAAACTTCAAAGTTTTTTTATGAATTCTCATAAAATATCAAATAAAATTAGATTAAGATGCCTACCTTTTCGAATTCTTTTTCTTGTACTCCTAATTTCTTCAATAATCTTTCCTTCATTTTTGGGAAAGGTTCACCCTGTAAACACACAATCGATCAAAACATTTAGAACTAGAAAACTGAAGTGTTTATTTTTTTTCAATTTCATCACATGTTCAATTATACTTACATGCTTAATTTTAAAGAAAAAGGGAATACCAAATGTTGAGAAAACATCCTTGTGAAAGTGTGCAACGGGAATCAACATTTCATCTTCTGCTAAATTTAACTCATCGTTTGGAACTTCTTCTATCCTGTATAATTTTGTGCCTGATGTATTTAAGTTATCTAGGGGTACTTCGTCTTTTGGTCCAGGCGAAAGTTTACTACAATTGATCTCTAGTATCCTCAACTTTCCAGATCCATTTTCTGACAATTCCACTTGTTTCTTAGCTTCTTCGAGCAAAGTAGCCACAGTTCCATTTTTATTAGGATAAAGAATGATTTCCTTCTCTTCTTTAAGAGATGGACCAACCCATATACATTTAAATTGCTTTTTGTTTTCAAGCTCATTTACTCTAATACTGAGCTGCTGATAGTACAATTTCTTCGCTTTCGGTTTACCAAAAGAAACCAAATCTTTAAGCGAACCTTCGAATGTACATTTTAATGGATGTCCAGGTGAATCTTTGTAACTACAAATAAGATAATATTTATAACCATAATAAAATAAACATTATACATATTATATATTGATACGTATGCAGATTACATGTTCTTACTTTTGACACTTAAAGAACTGCAGAAGATATGGATCTGTGCCAACCCTTTGTGCCACAGCTTTTGCCATTTGATCGTATGTCATTCTCAATGAAAGTTCCATTGTAAAGCCTGGATCATTAGGAATTGTTTTATCAAAAAATGTTACCTCTACTCTATGGAACAAGTCCCTGAAATACGAGAAAACTTTTCATATTATTCTTTGTAATAAAATGAATGTTTGTAAATATTTCTATAACTTACTTGAAATATTCTTTACATGTTGGAAGTTCGTAGACTTGATTATCACCTTCTTTTTGAAAAACGATGATATCTCCATCCATTAATTCTTCCAGGACTTTTTCTAATGGCTCTGCTAAGTTATCTATCTTTTCTACCAAGTTCGGTTTGATTTCTTCATAAAGTACTAATTCTGTATCCGGCGGGAATCCAGCTCTTTCATTTAAAATTGGTATAAGTTCCTCTGCACAAAACCGTCATAACAATTATTCTTCACTGTTGTAAAATGAAAAGTTTATATTAACAATTAATAACCACGTTCTATACCAATAAATACTTCCAGAGGATCTATAAGTAGTATTACAGAAAACATCAATTACAAAATATGCAAGTATCAATAACATTTTGCACAATGCTACAGAATAAAGAATTCGATTAAGATAAATTGACCTAATTTCTTTCGTCTTCCTAGTTATTTTAAATGGAACTTACGGACTTTAGATGTGACAGGCATATAATGATGGCCACAATAATGAATTTTCTTGTTATTAGGATCATACAATTTAAAAAATAATAAAACATCGGTATCCTTATCGAAAGGTGGTAATGCTCTTAAATCTGAATCTGGAGGAACAAGTTCGACAAACACGTTCCAAACATTTGGATTCTCTGAGCATTGATAAATGGATCTCTGCAGATCAATTTCTAGTTCAAGTGGCATCGGTCTACAGGTCTGGTTCGAACGTACGTTCAGTGGCCATAAACGAATTTTCTCTACTGGATATTTCTGTAGAAAAAATTCCACTACGTTAGACATTCAAATGAAACCAATTTTATTATTTGAAACAGAACACTTGATTCATTCATAAATATTGTGTTTTCAATCACCTACCGTGCTTGTAGATGATCACATTATAGTATATAACCAAACTAGTAGCACATATTATAAAGCCACACCAATATTTCAACATTACATAATTTGAAATATATGGATGTATCGGTATTAACATAAAATTTCAATATAGTAACATGTGTAATAGGATGAGAAATTTGTCAACAGTTTACACTTACCAAGCTATCACTCAGCAATTCGAGAAACTCGTGCAAGGTACACTGCTTACGTACGCGAAATACACGATACAAAGCATGCTCTGGATCATACAAGTCATTTCCTTGGTGACCGTCAAAGTTATCCTCAAGAAGGACGTTGACGGTTATATACAAGTATGCTTCTGTTCTTTCCTTTCTTCTTATTTGTTCCAGCCTCTTCTCCTCTTGCAGCCTCTCCACCAGCTAGACCAACAAAATTAAAATTATCCATATGTATACTAAATTCATCTCATTCGTAATTTTTTTTTTCCTCATCTGTCTTCTAAAATTTAAACTTTTAGAAAAGCAGTGTGCTGGTATCATGCTTTTGATATTCGAGAACAGATAGTATTCGAAACATCAAAAGAATGACTTTTGTTTCTCATTTACGTAATTTTAATTTTGTTCATCTGCCGCAATACAGACTACTAAGTCAAACAATTACACAATGAAAATTATTCAGCCGTGAATGATGATTTCATGCACCGTACTTTAGATTTATTGTAGATAAATTTTGCGGAAATTTATATACTCCATTGGCAAACAAGATTATTACTTTTATACACAGGGATGATATTTTTATAAACGATTCTTGTTAAACAATAACTACAAATTCCATAAAACCTTTACATTATAATTGGATATAAATTACATTTGAATTTATATGACAGATAAATCTTTCTCTAAAGATCTTTTTCTTGAATATTCTTTAAATAGGAATTACAATATTCTAGCAATCAGTATTATTTGTAAATTCAAAAGTATCATACCTGCATGTAAGAAGTACTTTTTTAAGTACATGACCATCATTTATGCTAAATAATAATAAAAATGTAATATATAACCATAGTAGTGTGGAGATGCCTTACACTTTGAACTGTTGTTATATAGATATGTTTTAAACAAAAATACAGCTGCAAATGTTCAATAAATCAAAATTAAAAGTGGTTACGAATTAACTAATGTAAATTCTATTCTTTGAAAGTTTCTAGTACTCAACAGTTTATTCCATACTTTTTCATTTCTTTTATGTCTAAAATATTAGTATAGTATTTATAGGTACTTTATAGCTATTATGAAATATTCACTCTGTCGATGATGCATTGAGTTTTTTTCTATTTATTAATATGTAACAAATAAATAGGTAGCATCTGTTGATGGTCATACTGACTATTAACATTGACAAAATTTAATGATTAACGACTTGATTGATTGATTCAGACCTTTTTATCAGGTTTAACATCCTAGCTTTGTTACCCACGTTGAGTCAAAGTATTAATTCACGAAAATTACGGTTTTGATAATATAAATCACATTTCACCTCACTTACTGAACGATCTTCATTAAATAACAAACACACTGTAGAAGACGTATTAAGGAAGAAGCCGACATTATTAATAAATCCTACTTATTGTTCATTTTTTTCTTTTTTCCCTCAACGTTATTTATTCATGAGTTAAGACTCACTGCTTCAAATCAGATTTTTAATAATTATCTCACTATGTTAACTAATAAGTCTTTCCTGCCCTTATTCTTCATATAGTTATTCACACATTTCCAACCTATTTGCGATATGTCTGTGCATTCTTCACCCAAAGCTTTAAAATACTACAATACAATTATTCGTTTTAGATATAATATTGTACAATATTTATTACAATAAACATTTCAAAACGATTCTAAGGCTCATTATGACAGTAGCCTAATAATCAGATCCTATGTCAACCCGATTGTAGTTTTGTAGTACCTGAAGTGCAACGCGTACATTAGTTATAGCTGTATAACTTTCAGTCAATTAATATATGTATATATATATATATATATATATATATGTATGTACATATATATACATTATATTTATATTGAGATATATAAAATATATGATCAATATAAATATATCAATATAAAATTTTTGAGTAACAAAAAAATAAGTTAAAAAAATCAACAAAAATTTCATTTTTACACGACTCAATCGTCCATACAAAAAATCCTCTGTAAAAAAATCGAAAATATCTTTACTGGAATAAACAAATCTCTATATAACACGAATTATTAAAAATCTCACTGGTAATATAAATTTTATATAACGGCGATGCAAAATTTTACATTAAATATTTTATATTAATACGATATAAATGATACATTTATCTTTCATTGCGTGTATTGAATTTCAGCAAAGTAATGCGCGCGTAACACTTTAAAAATGATCAAATGTGAAGTATTACATACAACATGTCGTACCTGAAAATGGACATAATGTATTTAGTATCAACATTTGGTGATATAACAGCCTGTAGCTGATAACACTATAAATTTCTGTTCATAAAAAATATTAAGAGAAATTTTATAACAAATATTTGGAAATATATGTGTATGTATATATAGATGCTAAAAAAAATATTAATTTATTAAATTTAATTTGTAGATCTTATTTTCTGATTAATTCACATGTCCAAAATATTGAATCTATTCAAATACGTTCCTACCTTGTTAAACTCATTTCATCCTTGCATTTAACTTGATATAATATGTTATGAATTTGATGACCTCATATGCTATGAGTTAATTATCTTAAAACGTATTTAAGAAATGGGAAGAGTTTTATCGAAGAACAATGCAAACGATTTACAACTCTTTCCAGCTCTTTGCACGATTATTATTACTTAAAAATCATGAATATAGAGATTTGGATTTCGAGAATTTTGCGTGCACGGACGAAGAGTCGTAGTCTCTGTGTGTGAGTCTTTAATCGAGTCAGTCGTGTCTTTGTCACGTTCAAGGTCGCTCAACTCCTGGGAAAATTCTCTTTGAAGGACGTTTCTGACCTCTTGAGGTATATCCTCTTCCTTTACTTCTTGCAAGACGTTTTCCAACTCAGAATTCCTTATGTACACCAACATATAGGCGTTCGTACAGTGTTTCACAGCCATAGATATGTCCTCATCTTGACCACCGTAATTATGTTCAATGGCTTCCTGCTTTGTACACTTCGAGACGACATCATCGTCGAATTTACACCACTGTTTCGAAATTAAGTATGTGATAAATGACATATGTATGCATCAACCATTTATATTTTACAAAATGTAATACTCAAAACTATATATAAATCTTCAAAATCAAAACAATTAAATAATAGATATATATAAAATATTAATGCAAGTTCCACATACTTTTCCATCACCCGCTGGATTGATAAATACAACATAATGTCCACCATGATTATCTCCACTGTGAACTAAGACTGCATGCAATGTATAATCTGCACTTGTTGCTTCTTTATTTTGTAAATATTTGCCAAGACTTATTTTATCATAGAATTCAAACCTTTATTGAATATAAGATACATTTTTTTAAAAACGAAATATAAATAAATAAATTCAGTACAATAATTAAATACTACTTCGATGTTACGTTGCTTACCTGTCATTAAATTTGACAGAACAATCTGTAACTGGATCATATTGAAATCGCATTAAATGCAAATGTAAAACTGGTGGAAATGATGAAAAGATAACACCTTTTTCTGCTTCCTGTAATCCATGTTCTCCCGCGTCATACTTATTATCACCGTCCAAACTTTCAGTGCTTACATAGTCATTAAAAGATTCATAAACTAAAAAAATTATAATTTTTATGTGGTACGGAATTATGCGTATTATCATAAACATGAAATGTTTACATGAACTCGCCGGTGATTACGAATACTTACTATTTTTCTTGCCCTTTATATTTAACTGTATATCATAGAAAGTTTCAACTCTGGTTGATTTGTAATCAATATTTTTACATTTAATAAATGACACCATTTTGCCCTCAAATAATTTCGGTACTGTACCCTCAACACATGTTCCTTTCATTTTACTTTCCAACTTATCTAAAAGCTGAAGCAGTTATTAGTAAAAAAAATATAAATTCAATCAAAATATTATCAGCAATATATTATATTACTTCCATACCACTCGTAAAAATTCTTGTACATCATGCTGCATGAAAGAATCCAATGTTTCCCAACCAAAACTTTTGGTTAGTTTTTTTGTACCTACTGGCTTATCAGAAAATTGTAATTCATGAAAGACCCTTTGTAAAGCCAAAGCAACGCTCTTACTAGAATCATCGCTTTCTGTTGGCATTTTGTAGACTGCTTTGCGTAACTAAAAACAAGAATACAGATATTTAAAAAATTGTATTGTAGTCACAAACAAAGAATCCAGATACCACATAGTGTAAATTCATTATCAATTTTGGGATTTTTTTACATTTTCATATCTGTATTATGTTTTGTTTTTAATAAATAGTACAATATATGTAATATACTTGTACTGACAATTGAACTTTCCTAACTAAATCAAACAAACTCTTTAATTCCTTAATTTATCAATACAACACATTTTTGAACTCCTAACATATTCAACTTACCTGATTGGTAAAATACAAAGTTTGAAGCAAAGAATTCATGTAACATGTAGCACCTTGATTTTTTAAACCTACAAATCCCGTATGTTTTTTACTATCCCAACTGACACCATGTGGAGCATCAGCCATCACATGAACCTATTTCAAAAAATATTCATAAGTATATAAATATTTACTAAAAATATTTATAATAAATGAAAAATTAATGTTTCAATTTCAGACGATTTACTTAAACTATACAGAAACTGGGAAATCAGCTGAAATTACATTACATATTGAATAAATCGAGTTCAATGTGTAAATCAACAGTTAACGTAGAATATTTAATTAATGTAAAAATCTTAAATCTTTTCATGAAATAAAAAGTAAACACATGTTTTTCTATACAATATTACAGATCACCTACCTCAAGTGTAATAGAATCATCTTTAATAAAACCTTTATCAGGATCCAGGACATCCTGCAATGTCATAAAATGACTGAATCCCCAATCATTCTCTTTACTATAGAATAGGTGTTGAATCTCTAAAATAAGAATGTATATACTTTAATACATATAAAGATACATAATCATATTATCAAAGTGTTATAACATAACATGAAAGAAATTAGATTAAAGTTTAAATGAAAAATGTGACAATGTTTAATTTAAGTAAACTATTGATATATATTACAGTATACTAACTTCTGCTAAATGGTTCCTGTCCTTCCTTACAAGAAAGTAATCGAAGATCTGCAACAGCATAACAACTCCACGATGCTGATTCACTTTCCCCGTTACATTGAAGAAAAAAACCAAGCGATCTTTGAACTGGTCTTTCTTGTGCTTGACTTGACCTTGGCATTATCATTATTTTCCATGGCAAATTGCGAACGTAACATGGCGGCGACAATTGTGTATCTTTCATTTTAGAAACATTTTCTACTGTGTAGCGAAATGTTGCTTCCGATCTTGCTTCGTCTATTTATAAATGAAAGTATCATTAACATATTATTGATAAACTGCAATGATAGCATGACTTGAAAATCATTAGCTTACAAAAACAAGTTTGTATAACAAGATATTGAATTGAGACAATAATATTATAATATCATCATTCCATGCCATAAATTCAACAAGAACATCTCTTTTTATACCAACAATGAAAAAACTAACATTTCAAATAATATAACTATTGCAGCATATAAACGATATAATAACATTATATATAAAATTTATTTCAATTTAATAGGGTTACATTGAAATCTCTTTAAAAAATATTTGAATTACTAATACATAATAATATACTAAACCCATAAGGCATGTAGTACAAAACTTTATAAAAATGTTATTATAATAAATGTTTTAAATATTGTACTTTTAATGTATTAGTCATGTACCTACATGTAATATGAAAAATGCAAATAAAGGGTAGCATAATGAAAATGAGTCTCTAGTTTGAATTCCAATATACTGTCATGGTTTTAAATTGGTTTAATTAAATAATGAAATCCTTACAATTTTTACAATTATTATAATTCCTGACATTCATAACAGTTTAAATGCCATCTATTATTTAAAATTTTGAGGTAGCAGAGTTAAATAAACTTTAAAGAGACAATATACATGTTGGCCAGCAGTTTTTAAATTATTAATGACAAAATAAAAAGAGTATATATCGATACATATATCAATTGTTGAAAATTATTCAAAATTTTTGCGAAGAATTCAGAATAAAAATTTTGTATTTTTTTGTACATATTTTATACAATGTTTACACTGAACAAATAAATATTATAGAGTTATAATTTTAATAAAGTGACATAAAGTCATTTTTGTCTTACCTTCCTGCATTTCTTGGTCTTGGACTATACAACCTAATTCCGATTCTCCATTCATAGGACTAGTATCATTGCCATCTCCTCCACCATCATTTGGTGTTTCTACAAAGTCAAAATATTTGTTAATATATGTTTCTTCTTCTTAATTACATGTATGAAACAAATTATTTCTTCAATACAAAAACCATCTAAATTTTGTAAATGTTTTGAGGAAATAAAATTATATAAATCTTATATACATTTTTCCATTGAACAAATAAAATATTAACATAACTATACTTAAGATTTGCTATATTATAATTCTTGTTTACTATCAAAGAAATATTCTAACTTTAATCTAAGGTTAAATACTTATAATGCTTGTAATTACCTATAGTGTGTATAAAATGCACAATTTATCGAGTATTTAACAATAATCTTGGGAAAAAAAAGAATTTATAAAAGTATCCATATAGTAATTTATATAAATGTTGTCAAATTGCAATCATTTTGACATGATTAAAAGACAAATGAATATTTTCATCAAATGAAGAACTATACGTAACCCTATGCATATAACTTGTTATTAATTTTTTAAATTTCCACACAATACAATTTCAATAAAAGCCCAGACATCAAACATTTTATTAAAGTTTTGTTTAAATTTTTAAAATATTAAATATTATTACTATATAAAAAATAAATATACATACAAAATATAATTAAATATTAATTTATTTAAAATTTTAGGTTTTCTTAGTCATATTAATGTAATATATTGATTTTTGCTTTATTCTGTGTACGTAGATGTCTAATATATGCATAATTTATTACAAGCAAAGGTTGCAATAAACATAATTTTTTGAACATTTAAGCATTCAATTAAACATCAAACAGACAAAACAAAACAATAAACTGAAGTTTTGAGAAGAATACTATTATATGCAAACAAAAATTTATTACAAAACAATCATATATTGTCACAAAATTATAAATAATTTCTATAACCTTCAAGGCAGAAATAAAAACAAATGAAACTAATGTAAAAATAAAAATAAAACGAAATGAAATCAAACAGTGAAGGTGAAACGTACCTTCTTGCGTGTCCATTTCTTCGATTTCATTGAACTGAACTGGTGCCAGGTCGAGCTGTTTAAGGTTTTTCTGGTCGTTAACGTGGTTCATCGCAATGCCGATATTGATGGTCGTCTTGATTGCGCCGGGTACCTCGGAGGCGGCTTCCGCCGTCGAGGTTACTTCCGATGGTAATTTAATTGATATATCCACAAACGAATTTCGAGCAGAAATATGTTGTTGTTCGATGTACTGACTATTCTCGTCGAGGACGGAAGACTTTTGCTGAAGCAAATTCTGTTGTGGCTGCCCGATTTCAATCGCAACCAGGTTCGCGTCACTACCACCACGACTTAACAGCGACGTTGGTTTACCACACGATGACGATTGATATTTGCTTGCGATGCGCCCAATTTCAGCAACTATCAAGTGCCCCCGTTTTTTTGGGGGACGCCCACAGCATATATTCCACCCTTGTGCGATATTTTCGTAATTCTTTCGTTGTTCTTTCTCTTGTCGCAACGGTTGTATCTTTTCTTACTCTCGTGGCACTATCCTGCTTGCACTTCTCAACTTGTGCTCCCTCGCTCTTTCTCGCCCGATCCGAGAAACGGATTCCGCACCGCGGGACCGGCGCGCTACTAATCGGGAAACCTACGTACTTCTTGCGAACCTCGACTCCGTTACGTCTTACTCTTAATATTTGTTCCAATCTTTGCCAACAGGCACCCGTGCAGACGAGTTTTTCTGCCAGTTCTTCCAGGTTTCTAACGTGATCACAGATGCACTCAGCTGACGTTTTCGCGGACGAAGACAGAACGATCTGCTTGGATGACCGTCTCTCTGATCTCTTACGCGAAAATAAACAAAATGGCGACAAACCGCACTACTCTGCTGCCTGCTTAACTGTCTGAACTGTCCTGCATACAATTCTTACAGACCATGAAATTGTTGTAACACTTCAGATGGCATAGTCGGTAAAATGTTTTGTTGCACAGACGCGGGAAATATAAAAACTTACATATGGAATGCATACAAAATAAAGTTTGAAATCTTTGATACGTTCATATATAATTGTAATTATACAAATCATACAAATAAGCAATTATAAAATATAAAACATAAATCTCTATAAGTATATATTCAGCTCAGAAAATCTTATTTGTTCTAGGTTCTAAATAGATGTAAAAAAAAAGTACCAACATGCTTCAACTTTCAATTGGTCAAATGCATGTTGCAATTTTATTCTATCAATCATAATCACATATATGCTTCGTATAGCAAGGATTTCGTGTAAATAAACGACTTGCCACAAGAACAAAATGGTTGGGCAATGTACTTCAAATAGATGCACATTCGACAACTATTATACAAGATATTATTTATGTATGATAATTAAATTAAAATTCTGTAGTGAAAGAGACAACAAGAAAATATTTGTAGAGATATCGAATAAGATAATATAAATAAAAATACATTAAAAAACACAAATAATGAGTTACAGACTGTGGACCAATGAGATTCTGTTGCAAATACGTGATTTGTTTACAGAACTTCCTTCTCACTGGACAAAGTACATTTAAAATTTATAATAGATTATACAACGAATATATTATTATTAATTAAATATGTATCATAATATTTTATGTATGAATTGCGATACAATTGTAGTAATTTATACACATGTCTTTTAAATTGTTATGAATTAAGAACAATGCTCTCTTTGCGGGTTCTGTTAATACATGTCAGCGCTTTAATTTTGTAAATAATAGTAACGTTACATTTTTCTTAAAGTATTCTATAAACCGAATACATGAGTTTTTCAATAAAGAAATGCAAATAAAGTATAATAAAGAAATTAATTAGAAAACCAACCAATAGATGTCTGTATTATGCTATTCATTTGTTTCGTTCATACAAATACGAACGAATTTCAACATTGTATGTCGTAACACATGCATTTTAGGTTGGAAAATATATTTTTCCATATAATTTTCCTCTTAATTACCAACAAAAATAATTAATTAATTTAATAACTTGAACCAAATTTGTTCATTTAAAATATTCGCATTTACAATCAGTCTACTTTTTATTATTATGCAGAAAATGCAATATTTCCTTCTTTAATAATGTAATATCACGCTAGTAAACAATTATCATTTGTTATATGTTATGACATATAATAATATAAACTAAATAAGAGTTTCGCCTCTTGACATTCTAACCAAAATTATTTGACATACATATAACCAACCATAATTAAATATAGATTTGTAAATGTTAATTCCAATACATTCAAACGTGTGCCCCTATAATTTGTTGATCATCATAACAAACGTTAATCGAACGGGAGACTGAATAAACTAAATTAAAGTTTCTTTTGTACACGAATAAAAATCGCAGGAATAGGAACATACTTTTTCTTATATGTATATAGAAAAATAAATTTATAAAAAATGTGGAATGTGGAATTCTGATTTCTTTATTGTTACGCTACGTTACATTGTTATAACCTTCTATGAATAGTAAAGAAATAAAGGCAATTGTATCCACATACATGAAACCACTTCCATCACATTACTTAGTAAATTAAACCTTATGAATTATAATTGTTATTCAATGAAATAGAAAGACATATAAACTTTAGTGTTATAGTAATCGAACTGTTAATTACGACAAATGGATCTGCTAAACAAAACGATATTCATTAGTTCAACTATCAGATTCAACCCAGAAGGATAGGATTTAGAAACATTTCTTTTTTAAAGCAATAAAAAGATTTTGAATATATGTTTACGTTTCTAATAAAGACCATAATTATTTTCGTTCATTATCCTTTGGAATAATAGGTTTTTAAATCTTTCATTCAACTTGATAATTTTTAAGTTTTATACCAATCTCAACGAAATTAAAAACATTTTTTATTTAATTGTAAATAAGATTCCAGTATATGAATAATTATTTTAGTATCTAACATTTAGACGTGTTGGATATTTTTGATTTGGCAAAAGTAGTGGGAAAAACAGCTAATTTTGATAATCGTACGTCTCTCTCGTTCAGTTTCGAAGGACGAAAAACAGAAACATAGTGTAAACTGTTATCAACACATACTATATATGTCTCTCATACATTTTGCCATGTTAACCTATTGCTTGAAAAGTACATGTTGAATATGGCAAATGTCGCAATTCATTCTATGAGCTCTAAAAAAACACACGTGCGACTTGTTTAAACTAAAATGTATTAAACATTACTTCAGTAATAGAATATTGTTTAACAAAGTTTTATTTTGTTAATACATATTAATACTTAATGTGTTCATAATTATCTATATATTGCTTTATACTTAAAACTTATTTCCTATTTAATATCAAGTTATTATTATGAACATATATAAAGTTAGCTTTAGGCATTGTATATTGTGACATTTTTGCACAATAGAGTAAGCTAAACTGTCATGTATTAATGTCTAAAGGTTTTAATAGATGTATATATCTAAACAAACATAATTACATTTGAATACCCATATAATATTTTAAAGAAATATTCAATTTTCCAACAAAATAATTATACAATACATTTGTTGTTATACTATGTATAATTTATAGGAAATAGTGACGATCTTTTGAGCATCAAAATCTTAGACTTCATTATAATAGTAACCCATTTATAGATTTAGAAACTTATACAAGGTGATCTATTAGAAATAGAACATTGTAATTTCTTATTATATTAAATAATAAATGTTGCCAACAAAAAGTATATGATTTTGAGAAAGGTATGACATAGTTGATGGTATTTATTTTATTATGTCTACTTTAAAGTTATACAATTTGTGATAGCAACACTTCTTATTATTTAAAATATGGTATTAAGGTGTGTTTGCCCTAATAGACCACCATGTATATAATATTATATATTCCTACATCTGTGTATGGTGAGGCAAATAATAAGTCGGCTTTAATTCTTTAAGCTATATTAAATTTTTCTCAAAATTTAACATTTTAATCTGCATTTAATTACAAATAAAAGTTTTAAATTTTGATAAAAATATTTCATCTTTTGTTTGTAATTATTACCAGATTAAAAAGTTTCAATGCATTTTAATTGTTCTTACTTAAAGTTGAGATAGCATAAGGTACTATGTTCAACAAAACTTCGTACAATAAGAAAATTAAAAAAAATTGCAATTTAATTTGTTTCATACAAAAATAATTAAATGGCTTAGGATACAATCATTTCTCGTGTTTTTTAATACGTATGTATATAAATGCAAACAATGCCATTAATTGCAGTCATCAATAGTTTCTATATCATTTTGTTATAGACAATCAGTCCATATCAATGTATAGTATTTAACATGTTCACAGTCTGCTGAACCATATGCGAATCAGTACGATTTTGTCTCAGATGACCAATAATCTATACGTGAACTAGGATAAATTTGATTTGAAAATCTACAAATCATACATAATTCACGCCAATAAATATCGCCTGCATGATCTATCTAAAAGTTGGTCTATGTTTATAAGCTTAGACTGTGAACATGTTAAGATTCATTGAACTACTTATTCAAATAATTTATAAGTTACTACTTTAATATTACACTAAATAGTAATATTTATGAAGCTATGTGTCACATATTTTAACATGTGTTAATATTACAATACTGTCTTTATATAGTACTTATTATCAACTTCTTGAAGTACTTACAAGAAAATTGTACGTATTTATGCAGTTTTAGTGACACGAAAAATAAAATTTATTCTGCTTAAAGTTAATAATAGAATTTATTTTTTAAATAATATAAAATTTTTCTCTAGCTTAACACTGTGGGTGGTCCCAATAAATAAAGTTGCAAAATAAATTAAACATCTTATAAATTATAAAATCATAATTAAGACAACCCATAAGATATCACACTATAGACAGATATTATCTTAAAATCAGTATTACATTTACGCAGTTTGACGTGAAACTTGCATATTTTCTTTACATAAATTATATGTGTATTTACAAATAAAATAAGTATTTATAATATAAATGTCGAATTATTTAATCAATTATTTCATTATAATATTGTGTAAATTTATAATGAAATAATTTGAATAAAGAATATTTCAAATAAATATAATTAACGCAATGCTTATATCCCTAAACTTTTTGAACATTCTTCTGAATTATGATTTATGCATACATAAAATGTATAAAGCATAGTTATGAAATAGCAGTAGGTATATACACACGGAAACATTGAATCTGTCGCAGGGCGTAAAATTTTCCAATTGCTGGAATGACATTGGTGACTCCCAAGTGGTAGAACGTGATGTTTTCAGTGTACTTCCACCAATCGGAAGCCTAACGCTACATATGCGCCATGACCTCACAACAGATTCAATGTCTTCTAGAGTACAATTCAAACTTTTGTATATGTTTTAAGTGTCAAAAGAAGTCAGCGTCTTTTCATTTCAACATGTACACCTAACTATTATACCCTACTACTGTAGTTCCTAATTTCATGAATAAACAGTTTACATAGATCTTTATCTTGACTAGATATTACAAAGTGCATATTATACAATAACATGCTATATAAACAGCACTAGAAAAACGGTATTTGTTATTTGTGTAAAAAAGTTATGAACAGTTATAAATGTTTTATATATGTATAGAGAGTATACAAAAAAGAAGTGATATTGGTTGTGAGAATTGCAATAGCTATGTTCTCACGTTCTGGCATTAAAAAATTAGGACAAATAAATATATAATACTCGTGTTATACAAACTTGACAATGTGACATTTTTTTCACCGACGAAATTTATATCTACGTTTATTGAATTGAACATACTTTCGAAGTCCCATGGGATTCATCCATAGCAGCTGCTCGTCTCTTTATACCTTCCAAATATATCTCGCGGTTAAACAAACCACCACCAAGAGGAATTCTATAATAAATAATTATTAAAAATCATATAATATATTTTAATATCATATTTAAGTTGCATATGTATATACGTACGTATCAATGCCAGGCCTTATGGTTGTTTTAAAAACACCCCACACAGGTTTGTGGTCTGAAGTACAAATGCTTGGAACAGAATCATATACCAGACATTCTATAATTCCATCTTTATGTGAATTAGTACTTTCATGACTAACTCTTCGAATGTATCCTCTTGAATGTCCTTTTCCCTTAAAGAGAATCCTGTCGGTGTATGCGGGTGTGCGCTGTTTACTACTTGAATCAAAATTTTGTGTTCCTGGATCATATTTATAAGTAGGAGGAAACATAATTGATGCCTCTTCAAATCCACGTAAAACGGCTCCTTCGTTAAGAATTGTTCGTAATTGGTCTTTATGTAAATTTATTGGTGACTGTTGAGGAAAACATGTATCTGTAACCCATTGGATAACTTCTTCCCTTGGCTGAGCTAGACGAAAATTTAAATCACCACACCAGAACACGCAATCAAAGTTTTGAGTTACATCTGGAAGTATAAAATCTGTTATATAATATATAATTTTATAATGATAGCGATGATAATACAATTTTTTGTCCATACCTTTGCTTTTATGTCTTGTAGGTAAATCTTTAGGAAGATCAAGATTTCTAACTATTCTTTTAATATCATTTACTCGTTCTTTAACTTTATCTTGGTGCGCAGTTAAATGTGCTGTAACAAAGAGAAAACTTGTGCCAAATAACATTAATGCTATGGCAACTGCTCCTTTTGTTCTAAACGCAGTTCCTGTTCTAGTTGAAAAATTAGCATCTTCGGCAATAGAACAGAACCAAATTAAATCTCTCCTTAAAAACAGAGCAAGATGCAATGTCCCTAAACCAGTACTGAACAATAGTACGTGGGAAGGACCAAGAGTTTCTTGTAATGCTGCTTCCCATTCGTTTCGTTCAGAACATGATTCTTGTGTTCCAATTGCTAATAAGTCTGGAACAGTTTCTATATCTGAAGGTAACATAAAATCATTTAATTCTTTTGGTGGACTTTGCCCATTCATGTTCCATGTACCAACAAAAATTTTCAGTTCACGATTTGGTAATACTTTCTCAAGTTCTACTGGCCCGAGCAATGAATTTGCAGCAATCCTTCCATGAAGAAAATTTCTGTAAGAAACCAGCAAAAGTATAACGTTTCTTAATAGGTATAACTAATTTTTTTGTAAAATTACAGCTTTATTAAAATTTGTATACCTTTCTCGTGCTTTTTGTGTAGGAATTAAATTAAGAACTTGAGCAGCTAATAATGCCTGTTTTGCTAAACTGTCCATAGATGTTCCAGTTGTTTGAGATCGATGACGTTCTTTCTTTTTTGACAAAGCATCATGAGACGTAGAACGAGGTTTAAGTTGAACAGGTGCACTTTTTATAGACTCTGGACTTGAATGTCGCATAGAATTAGTTGGCGAATTTGCTACTAAATTATCCACAGACCGTCTGTGAATTAGTCTTTGCCTTAAGTATGCAGGAACACTTGGTGAAGTAGATCCAGAAGATGAATTTTCACCTAAAACAACAAAGTATTATACAATTATATTAAAAAATATATAATTTGTTGACACTAATGTGAAACTTGAATGATACATATGTCCTTCGATATAATGTCTTGATGAAATGAACTTAATATTACAAATTAGAACAATAAATGATAATAGAATATGTATCTGTAATGAAACCAAATTGGTTCAATTACTTCTTATTGTGTTCTTGATTCTGACACAATTATTCAAAATGTAGCAGGAATATCTATGATTCATGTAAAGTATATGTCTTGATAAATCATCTGAAGTTATTTCAATGATATAAATTAACATAAATATCATTAATTAATTATATTTTTGGGAATTATCAATTAACATTATTGTATTAAAGAGAACTTAAATTAAGTGTTGAAACGATTATTAAGACAGCTTACAACAGTTTACATGATTTACTCTGTAGATACATGTACCAATATTATTTTGAAATACTTTTGGGAAAATATAAATAAATTTTATTTATAATATATAAATTGAGAGTACTTATTGTGCGAATCATTTGTAACAGAGGAAATGCTATCTAATGATTTAACATTAATATAATGAATTTATATCTTAGTTGTCAATATTATACAAGTGGCCAAATAGAAGAAATAATGTAACATTTATACAATAATAAAATGAAAAGTATTTGAAGAAGCACAAGAATGAAACTTTAAGCAGCAGATATACTTTATTTATTATACCTTCTTTTCCTGGTTTTTCAGTATTAGATTCATGGTACTGAACCATACTATAAACGTCATGAGGATTGTAAAACTGCCGTTCCATTTCCAAGAAGAAATAAGAGATATATTTTCCTTTTGTAAAATATTCATCCTTGACATTTTTTTCATTTTTTTCATAATCAATCAGAAGTTCATTCTCATCTTCTGATGATTCCTCAAATAAATCTTCTGTTAAGTCTGCAGAAAAATCACTATCTTCACTACTCTCTTGAGATATGACTTTTATTTCTTTTAATAAAAATTTATGTGTTTTATATGGACAACTTGTAATATTAGAATATGGAATTAAATTTGGTATATTCGAGAGAGAATTTAAGTATTTTGTAGAATTATTATCATTCGACTGACACACATTTTCTATGTTAAAATTCTTTGCCAAAAATGCAACTTTCATATCTAAATTCCGATCTGAACTACAACTAAACTCTTCTTTTTCCTTATTCATGTTAATATTTATTTGACTTGCTGTTTTTTTATCTGTCTTAAAATCTGAGATATTTGCATGTATGTCATCAGTAGAATTACTACTTTTGTGCTTTGAACTTCGGTTTATATCAGATATAATTTTAATCTTTTCACAACATTTTTTCTCATATGAGTTTTTATCAATTTCGTGATTACTGTTTCTAATATTGTCAAAATTAAATTCATCATTAATATCCTCTTGTTGGGATATACTCTTTCTGCAATAACTGTCGCTATGAACTTTAATGTTTAAATTCTCTGTACATTCTTCTGAAGCTTCTCCAAACTTTAAATTTTTTGTTGTTTCCTCTGTTAATTTGCCACTTTTTTTTTTTTTGAATAATCGGATTAATTTATTGAGAAAAGAAGTTCTCTTTATTTTATTATCAGAATTAGACATTTTTTAAAGAGTGTTATCTAAAGTAGTACTTGAAACACGTTCATATGTCAAAGATTGGTCTTCAACTGACTATCATTAAAGCCTACACCTCTACTCATAAATACAATGTAAGCAATTCCTTTTCTACATTAATGTGAAATAAGACATAGTGGGGATATACAAGGTCACTACCTCATTCAGTCAGATTGCACAATTAGCAAAAATGGAAACATTGTAATAAGTGCAATACTTAAAGTTATATATAGTTTAATGAACTTCAAGTAGGTTTATATCCTCACTAGAAATTTTTTACTACTTTAGTGAATAGCAACAATCATTTAGTAAAGAAAATTGAAGATAATCTTTTATGAAATATATTGAAATTCACATTTAAATTGCCCAAATTAATGTTTAATTTAGGAACAAAATAAATCACTTTACAATGTTTTAGATTATGTTATACATTAATTTAATTTAGTAAAAAATAGTTTCTGATTGACACAGATAAATAATTAAAAACTTTGTATTTTTCAATACAGTATGTAATTGTCTTACCTTCAACAAAAGTACTTTGTTGTTGTTCTTTCTCTACAAAAATACTATTCTTTTCCATATTTTCTTGAGCATTACGTGCACCACTTGACGTGTAGATTTCTTCCTTTTCCACTAATACATTGGTTTGACAATTTCCATTAACAGAAGCTACTTCAGATTTGACGGATGTACGACTTAATGTGGTTGGGGATAATCTACTGACGGTCAAACTTTGCGGTGGTGTCCTGCTGCGTTCGGTCATTGCACAGCACAATGAAAGTTTTGTACTAGTATGAGATCCATGTTGTGAATTTTCCATTTTAGAATTTTTGTTTGAATTACCATCTTTGTGAGATGTCTCCAAACATCCAACTTTGGTTTTTTTATTCATTAGCATGCGACAAAGAGACTTTTTCTTTTGCTTTGTTTTAGGAGAAATCTCTGCTTTAACAGCATTTGTTGTGTTAGACATGTCATTCTCTTCGCATTGCTCCATAGTAATATTTGTAATTTTATACTTTGAACACAATATAAGTACGTAATTTGGTATGAATAAATAAATTATTTTATTGTTAATTGTGCAAAGTATACCACATAGGAAACATTAATAATGTAGGTCTGTTTTATATATGTTACTACAAAGTACATCAGGAGTTAGACATTTACAAAGTGATTTTGATGTCTGTTGTACAATTATAATCACTTTTTTTTCAATATGATATACAATATATCTAATGATCATTTTAATCGCGTATGATTATTGATAGCACAAACTCTTGGTTGTAATAAATATCTGTATTACAGTCTTCCCAGAAACAATGTGCAATTCTTCCAATAATTCTAATACATATATTCTATTGTACAATGCGGACTAGAATCATAAAACAAGATATTTTATCTTGTCAACATAAAGAATATTTTATCTTGTTAATAGTTTATTATCAGCATATTTCTTGTTTAAATAAATACATTTAGTATTATATTAATAAGTAATTGCACTTCAAATATTAATAAATTTAACACTTTCATATAGAACAATTTGTATGCAATAATTAGACTAAAAGAAAATAATACATATTGTAAATGTGCTATTTAGAATGACTATTCAATTTTTAACTCTCCTTGATTTATTTGCTTAGGCACAAAATTCATCATCCTTACATGTAAGTATTTATACTTAATTATGCCCAGGAACTAATGTTGTAAATTTTTCTATAATATTGTGCTGTAAATTAAATTCGATAAAACAATCATTGTGCCAGTCGAATAAAAAATGTGAATTCGTTAATGTTGCGTACACTTCTCTTATATTGTTACGAAATTCAATTTGACTTTGAATCTCACATTGACAATGCATTGACACGTCATTCACGTCAAAATCCATAACAAACTGCATTGCGATTGAAAATACTTGACAAACGATCATTAACTCTAACTTCCGCTTCCATTTTTAAATGAATAATGAAATAAACGGCATAATACGTATATTATGTTCTTTAAAAATCGGTAATGGTCTTCATTATAATTATTATTCCCACAGCAATTGTTCTTATTACGCATGAACTGTCACACATCCGAATGTTGTATCATTCACCACTTTCGAGCTGATAACTGAACTTGCGCAGCTATCAGTCAAGCAGACGACAACGTTATTATATTTTAATACACCTTATAACATTTTATATTCGGTTAGTTAATGTTTCGTACAATTAACACAATAAAAAATAAAATTACAGAATTAAAGAAGACTCTTTACCACTATTTGAAAAAAAAGGATATTTCTTATATTTTAATTAAAAATGTAGCTGTCAAAGTGAGCAGACGACATTTATGGGCGCCATATTGTTGGCAGAAGCCATCTGTGACGCAATATACCTACTTCGGCATCTACTTACTGTAATCCGTTGCATACACACGAATAAGTATACAGGTACCTAGGGATACGTAGTTGGCCAGTGTCGTTTGGTTGGGTTGCGTCACTATAATGTTTGTTTACGTTGACGATAAGTTTACGTAAATTCGAAAAAATTACAAATATATAATTGAATTATAATATAAAATGTATAAATATTGATTTCACATCATTGTTGAACTACAAATAAACAAAAATATTATGATGCCGTGTAAATTTCATAATTCCTACCAATCAATTATGTAAATTTAATACAACATTAAATTTGAACAAAAATCGTGCGCATCTATTGAATAGTGGTGATCTAATGCATAATTAAAATTTAATAATGACATTCGTTATAAAGATTTATGAAGATTCGAGGATGAGCATCAATGTAGAAGCAATAATACATGTTCATAGAAAATAAAAATATGCATATACATATATTTGTGCGTGTGTATCGCGGGTTTCAAAAGACGTTTAATAACCAAACACATAACTTGTGTTCTTAAAAATTTTCGTATATTTTATAGCAACTTCGAAATAAATTATTCCGTTTTCTTAAATAACAATAAAAAGTTAAATTCCTAAAATAATTGCCTCGAGTATATGGGCAGAATTCTAATGAAAAGAAATCCTACAGCTAAAAATCGCAAATGTGGACGATGTTAGGAGTTGCGATAAGTTTTGAATTAGTTTTTAATATGTTAATAAGAAAATATATAGTAACTGTAATTCCAAAACACACACGCGTACACGCAGAATGTTTGAAGATTTTATTTTCAACAAAATTTTATAATTATACTTTTTAAAATACTTTTCATTATACTAATTTTACAAGCATTGAAATAGTATATGAAATAAAATACATTTAATACCAGACTAATAATATGATTGTTGTAATTCATGATTTAACAAACGTAGGTAGATATTCCGAATAAGTACAGTCTGTTTGATAAGAGCGTGGACGCGATAAATCAGAAAAAAATAATTTTCTTCGTAAAAAAATTGTGTACAAATCGCAAGTATATTTCAAAATCTAATACGCTTTTGTTTAACAATGGGTCTAATCTCCCCCCATTAGCGATTATCTCTTGATAACTTTAAGCATGCTTTCTACCAACTTTTCAGCATATGATGATAAAAGATCTCCATATCTTATGAATTTTTGTACTTAATGATTTGAGTGACAAACTGCGTTCTCTTCGAAGTTTATATTTTATTACACAAAGACATTAAAACATTTTCAGAAAGACTTGTCGCTAAACACGACACGTCAAGATTCTCGTGTGCCCAAGCTGGTCTCTTTTTCGACGTGTTTTCAATTGTGATTCACTATGCAACATTATTTGCTTGTAAGCGATGTTGAATAGTCAAAATATACCAATATTTACGCCTTTTCTTGTTAAAAGAATTCGCCCTTTTCACGAAGAAGGCGACAGATTCTTGGGAAAGAGATGGACGATCGCTTTGTCTTGCTTTTCTGTAGTTGCCCTCTTTGATCCTCGATCAGGGAGGTTATCGACATTCTTCTACTGTTTTTATATCGTTGTACCCAGTTATTAACAAATTCGCGAGACTTCTGCATATATTTTGTTGCACTTTCAACACTCATTTTTAGCCGTTTTGGATGACAGCACAAGAAGACCGCTTCAAATCATTTAGCATATACGGCATATTCGAAAACGGCTGTATGTCGCATGTACACAATTGAAACTGAAGGACACGAGTGAATGCATATCGAAGGAAACTACAAGTGTTTAAACTAACACAATTTTCCTCTCATTAGGTATCAAGTTTCGAAAATATCACGTCCACGCTCTTATCAAAGAGACTGTATATGTAACCCTTATGTAGAAATGTATGATCAACTTCGTGTGCACAAATTATAATACTATACGTTTGTACAGATTTTTATAAGTATAATAGTAAGTTTCTATATTAAAATGGAATAGTTAAATATTTTAATTGCTGTATAGAGAAGTAGCAAGTAGTAGTTTGTTAATCAAAAAGGATCGTGGCTGTACGAGGGAGAATGTACGAATGCGAACAGATGAGCAAGAAAGACTAATATTGAAGCGAGCAAGATAGAAACGTAATTCGCGCCGCCACCGTGAGGTGTCAGCATTGCATGCGGTTCGCTCGCTAGCGGCCACCATTGTTGAAATTCTGCTTTGGTTGATGCCCTGACGATTTTTTGGCTAAAAATCGTAAATTCGCCAGCCCCTGGCAAGGGCTTTGTGCGGAAGGTGCGTATCCCGTGATAAGCCCGCGACTATGTTTAAACCATAGTGACCGTCAGTGGCATGTTTCGCAATTAAGGGCCCACCGGGAAAACCCAGTGAAATCGAGTGTGCCCATCGATTTACGTGAAAGAAAGAGGCACCCATGTCCGTGTCGTGTGTCTTGTCGGGGTGTTGGTGTTGTGTGCGGTGTCTGAATTGTGCATGGGACATACGTGCGTGCATACGTGCCGGTACAATGCAACGCGTTTACATCACGCAACATACAATCTGTCGATCCTAGATCCTGTTGCCCGGAGTGAAAACTGAAATTGCCCGAGTGTGTTGAGAGTGTGATATTTGAGGCGTCAGATAGAGATTGCCGCGAGTAACTTGCAATTTTTGAATAGGTGCACGTTGTTCCGCGTGTCGGCACACGCGGCTCGCGCGTTATCGATGATAGTGTCCAGGTGCGGGAACTACATCCCTGCTTCGCTGTTTCGTTTGTGTGTATGTGCAGTTTTACAGGGTTAGATGTCTTCTTCTTTCCACGGTTTGCACGTTGAGCGTGCATAGGCGTGTGCACGCGCGACACACGTCATTGATGTATGTATGCATACGCGTACCCGTGTGTATTTTCTACGGGTGTACATGCGCGGGTTTGTTAACGTGCCTTTCTTCGTGTATATGCGTGCTCCCGTGCGGTACTTGTACGCAAACTGCATGCCATCGGAATTTACGAAAAAGCACGCGAACTCTGTTCTGCTACGACGCTGTTGGATGAGGAAATCGAGACACACAGTATTACACTCGCATGCTCATCGCTCCCCTCGTGGGTAACATCGACTATGAAACACCTACAGTGTTATTTCTTACATAGTGCTTCTGTGGAAACCGTTAGAATTTTTTTTCGCTGCTATTCTGACAGATCCTTTAAGAATTGACGCTTTAAATCTATGATGACAAATTTTCAAAATAAGGGGAAATCTAGTCTTGTTAACAACGTCAGTAATTGCTAAACGTATCAACGTTGACACCCTGACAAAACTTGTGAATTTTGTTTATTATATTTATATTCTTTAACAGATCCTCAAATGTTTCGTATTTTAGGTGCTCTATATACATTATTGGACTTTAATCAATGTGAAAGGGTACTTATAATTATGTACTAATATTATACTATTGTTGATAAAGTAATAGGATTATTCCTTTCACAAATAGTTTTTATGAATTTTTCAAGTTGGTATTATAATATAATATTAATGCTCTATAAAATACAATTACTTAAAAATTATTGACAATGTAATGCTTAGTTCTACGATAGTTTGCAATAATGAAAGTGTAAACAATGTATATTATAAATCTTAATTGAATAGGATTTCTGCTTTGTGAAACATAATAATTATCTATCAATATTTTAATGGAGGAAAAATATGATTTAGTTTTCGTTAATTTAGAATCAAATAATGTAGCATTATAGACAATCTTGTTTTTTGTAAAAATGATTTTTTTCTATTTGTATTAGCGCTTATAAAGTGTTATAGCTTTATAAGTTTTAATATTTACAGTTGGTAATAATAGTATTTGCATGTTTATGTTTGTTTATTAGCGATATCAATTGATCATTTTCATATTATATTTTATTTTTACATTAATGAAACATGTGCTCAATTGTGTTATTTCAAACAAATTGTTCAAATTTTTTTACGTATTGTTTTTGTAATAATTTCAGGAATTGGAAACACGTACAATAGCATATTACAAGGAAGGAAAATTAAAAACCCTGACATACATAAATTATCAATTAATCATCAATTTTGTCAAAATATACGAAATATTAGTGAACAAACCATAGATATTCCAGATCTGCATTATGGTGTGACTTGTCAAAACACATGGACTGTTCCCAGCAATGGTAAACATAACTTTTAGAATTCTCTTTCGCTCATTAGTCATAAAGAAGAAAATTATATAAATGTTAATGTTTTCTTAATAACATAAATATAAGCTTATTTATTTGTTTCATTTTTCAAGTAGTAACTTTTATTCAAAACAAATGGTATTAAATATTGAACATACTTCAAATCATTGATTATAAAATAAGATACCTATAATTATAATCATAATTTCCTATTAAAATTTTCAATTACAGGGCCATTCATACTTGGAATTGCGCCAAAATGGGCGCTATCAAATAATTTCATGCAGTGGGATTATATACAAGAGTTGGTAGCACATGGTGGTATGCCAGATATACATGGTTTATGTCAGAAGGAGGAAAATATCATAGGTGTGTCAGACACAAACTCAACATATGTTAATCAATTTACAAACTTCTTACAATCAACAAACAACAGAAAAATAGCAAATTCTGATACACAGAGAGCAACGGATAATAATTGCTTATCAGAATTTTCAAAACACGAGTTTAAGAATCACAAGGAAAGTTATAGTACCTGTCAGAGTGACAATAGCAAAGTAAAAACAATTAATTTACCAAATACTAAGAGAGCAACAACTATCTATCAGTTTTGCAAAGACAACAGTGAAAATTTGTGCGAGACGGAAACAGAAATTGATTATCGTGATAAAAATCTTTATTTGTCGGAACACCTAAACAATACATGGAATATTGCACAGCACAAGGCTTTATCGAACATATTGAAACAGTGTAAAAATACTTATAACCTTCTTTGTGCTTCTGAAGAAGAACTACTTAATTTATCAAGAAACTTAGAAGACAGTAAAGACTGTTATAATACACAAAGTAGAGATAAGAAAAAACTGTGCAATTTCTCAGGCACAAAAGCATCTTTGAAGGACAGTGCCATCTTGAATCAATTAAATCATTCCTGTAACATAGAAACCTGCTATTATACAAAGTGCAAGAAAATAGATTATGGTTTATTAAAATTTTCAGATTTGGAAAGTTCATCTCGTGATTTAGAAATTGATAATACATTATTTAAAACTTTTGATAAATACTTGAACTGTAAAACTTTGCTTTTATGCGAGAAACAAGATACAGACTTTTCTTTTACACATTTATCACCGAGTGTTAAAGATATTAATTTTAAAAGCGAATCTTCTACAGAGGAATATACAAATAAGTCAAAGAACATCTATTTTGCAACTGATTGCAAACCAATATTAAGTAATTGGGAGGATTTCGAAATGTCAGGACAGTATCCAGGTCATAGCCGACCTCCGGTTGGCACACCTCCACCACAGGCAGTCTGGAATCATCTTACAATGACACAAGGTCAAGGTAATATCACTTCTAATTTTCATTTACAAATATTTTTCAAGTATCAGATATCATATACATATATTCTCATATTTTATAAATAGTAATTTTCGTTTTAACAGTTTCAGGCTTGAATATTCATCCAACAGCACTGTCGGGTGCTGCCCTAAGTTCAGCTGGATTTTATACGCATCCATCTATAGCTAGGGCGTCTCATATAACATCACAACTTACGCCTCAACTTGCGCATACTCAAGCACCTCCAACGTGGCATACTCCAACTGTCCCCTCAAAAACTGTTACTCCAGCCAACACACCAGGAAATCCTTTGTTTAGTTTACAAATGCTGGTAGATAATAGGCAGAATCAAAGTCAGTATAGAAACTCACCAGGTTCGCAAAGTACGTTAGACTTATCTTCTACGTCTGAAATTATTCCTGAAAATTACTCACAAATACCTCAAGATATTCCAATAAGTTTGACTGCAAGAAACGTAGATAAAAGTAGTAGAAATGGAAATATTATTTCTCCTCCGATACCTTTGAACGGAGAAACTTCATCGGATAGTGGAATTAGTTCATCAGTTCCAACACCTAATTCTGTCAGTGAGCCAGTTTCACTCTCGACAAAAGAAGTTATAACACCTAAAATAACGGTCAAAAACTTTGAAAGCAATTTAAAAGGTGTCGCAAATCTTCACGATAAGATTAAGGAAATCAATGTAGATAATTTTACGCAAAAAGTTATAAATTTACCACCTAGTGTAACAATCGAAAGGATAGTTCCGGACAAGAAAGAACCTGAGGTTATGAAAAGTAAAGATACATTAAGTGTTATTGCGCAAATGCCAAGAAATGTTCTACCTGTTATTGTAAATCTTACCTCTAAAGTGGACAAAGATGTAACAGATAGTCCAAAAAGAGAATCGTCTTCAGAACGAGATCGAAAGATTGAAGAAACAAATGTAAGGTCACCTAAAAATTTACCAAAAAGAGGTAAAAAGGGTGTTGACTCTCTTTTAGAAAAATTAGAAGGTGGCAATAAAAAACTTGGCAGTGCTGAAAATATTGGGTCTGTTATTGTAATGCCAGTAGAAGAAAAGGATACATCGAGTGTTAAAAGTATGTCTCCGGATAGACAAAAATCGAAATCCCCGAATAGAGAAGACGAGGTAGTATCGCCAGCGTTCAGTAATGACGATTCTAATGATAATACTAAACAACGCAGAAAACGAAAATTAGAGAAGCCTGTACGGCTTAGTAAAGATTCCAAAACGGAAGTGGAGGATATGGAATTAGAGCCTACGGAACCAACAGAACCTAGAATGAGTGAACCAATACCAGAGGAGGCAACAAGTGCAACTTCAGTTGTAAAATTAGAAGAAAATAGTGATTCGGTGGAGCAGAGAATACCTGACAAAGTAGAAGAAAGCATAGAAGAAAGAAGCGAAGAAAATCAACCAATTAGAAGGCGGAGAAGTAGTGAAAGTACGCCTCCTAGTTCAACTCCTTCGAATCAAAGGGTCCGGAGAAAATCTAGCGACGACGCTACAGAATTTTCAAAAGTAACAAGTCCAAAAGGTGTAAATAATACAAATCCGTTTAATGAAGTTGAATCAGAACTTGAGAAGATGTTTGCTGGCATTGTTGAGACAGAGATAGATGTCAAAAAGGAAGAATCAAAAACAGAACTTACAGAGCCTGAGCTTCAAGCTGGAAGCACGACAAAACCTGAAAATTTAGGAAATAATATTCTGCATACGAAAGTTTCACAAAATGTAAACCCTACTGACGTTTCATCCACGGTAGATGCAAAATTGTCTGGGAAGAAGGGGAAGAAAGCCAAAGTTCAAGGAGGTAAACGAAAAATATCAAGATCTTCCGAAAATATTTTCGGAACTATAAGCAATGATATACCTCAGAAGGAAGTAAAAAAAAGGAAAATGTCTAAAAGTTCAAAAAAACAAAACGTTTCAAAAAAAACGAAAAAAAATACAAAAATAGATGGATTAAGAGAAATGGCATATGATTCCGGTTCAAATGCAAGTTCTATTAGATCTCGCGGACCGGTAGTTCATGTTGAAGGTCCAAGAGACAGTCCATTAAGCATTCAAGTAGTTAATGCACCAAGGGAGGAGGAAGAGGAAAAAAGTAAAGAAAAGCGAAAGAATGTTGGAAATGGTAGCGCAGGGAGAAGCAAGAGACTCAGTCATCAAAACGATTTAGACTATAGGGGTAAGTAGTTTTAATCTTTAATTTGCATACATATTTAAGATATTTAATAATTTAAAATTATTGATTATTTGAATTGATTATTTTATGTAGGTAAAGTCAGTAGAGCGGGTCTCTTTAGTTCAACATTATCGTCGCGTTATGATGCACATACAACAGATTCCACATGGGTTTGCGTATTTTGTAAACAAGGTCCTCATTCTGTTATACCTGGGGATCCTTCTCGACCACATCCTAATTTGGCTGGACCTCACATAGCACCAGGAACTTACACTGTACGTTATAATCATTTTCAGCATTTGTATTATATATATATATTTTTTAAACGAATCATTAGTATTAACTATGAATAGCATTTATAAACAGTGTTGTTCTCAAATTACAGGTTCCAGCAGGTGTTTTAAGTGATTTATTTGGACCTTATTTAATTGGTAAAGAACGTTTAGAAGATGGAATTCTTTCAGCCGATGAACAAGAGATTACTATAGAGCAAAAAAAAGGTGGTAAGAACAAAAGAAGTTTGCGGTATGCTGGACTAGCCGATCAGTTCACTGCAAAAATGGGTAAAAAGAAACGAAATTCCGTTGAAAGTAATAGTAATGCCATTTTTACGGGAATGACTGTACTCCCGGGGGAAGAACAACGTTGGGAAGTGTGGCTTCATGAACAATGTGCTGTTTGGGCAGCTGGAGTATATATGGCAGGTATAATAAACGAGAATACTATCTATATTGATAATTGTCATAAAAAAATTTTGTCAAAATTAACTTCTTGACGACTATTAAATATGAGAGACTGTTATCAATATCGATAACGGCAACAACAGTTACAAAATTGCTATTACGATTTTTGCTACCTGTTGCTGTTGTCAGTAACACTTTGAGAATCAGAAATGTCTAAACATTTTTCATAACTTACAATTGGTGGAACAATTTAGAAGATACGAAGCTCAGCGTCAAGGGGTTAAAATGCATAACATTAAATGATTCTAAAAGAAGTGATTTTTAATACAGGTGGCAGAGTAACAGGTTTACAAGAAGCAGTGTGGGATGCAGCGAAGTCGATATGTGACTCTTGTGGTTTAACAGGAGCAAATATTGGCTGTGTTAAACGAGGTTGCAAAGCAGTTTCACATTATCCTTGTGCACTAACAAAAGGTTGGCACTTAGATACTAATCAGTATATACCGAAGTGCAATCTGCATCGAGTTACGTGAAACTTCGGTGAGTCTATAAGAATAGCATGAAATAAATTATATTTACTATGTCACGAAGTACGGCTGTAACTTTGAAATATCGAATGACGAGTACTATCTTATAAGACACGACATTTAAATTTGTTAATAAATGAAAGTAGCATTAATTAACAAGGTATGGCTTAAGTTGATAAAATATAAAATTGATCATTATTATGCGTCATTAATATTTTTGTTGATGGATGTCGAAGACCTAATTAAGTCTGATGATTAATTTATATTTTTCAGCATTTAACAGTTTTGAGACGTTTTGAAATTACGCTTTGCATCATTTGGTGCATAAGTGTGTTTGAAGTGTGAAAGTATAAATGTCAGAACAGATATATGGTAATTTGCATACACAAAATATCAATATGCTCGACAGAAATACCTTCCAATGTACAAGATGTTCAAACGCGAATGCTGTTATTGTCTTTAAGAATTACAAACGAAAATGAAGAAATGGAAGTTCTTCTTGTTAATTAAATTTAATTAATTTTCTTGGCCTGTGGCCTTGAACAGTGGCCTTTTCGACCTAATATAAAAGCAAGATTTTTTAATTTAAAATCTGTAGTATAGACGAGTCGTTACTGAGGAACAATGTTAATCAAAAAAGTATTTGCTTTTTTACTCATATTTAAGAAACATTGAAAGGTTACAAATTTCCCCCTAAAACATCATGTACGCCGGAATAAAATATAGGGCATATTGTACCAAAATTTGAAGAAAAAATCAGAATATGACAAAAGTATGAAAAAGCATAGAGTTCCCGTTAAGAATCATATGCATGTATATAAAATGGGATGGATTATTAATCAATTAAATTGCTGGAGTTTGAACACTATCAACATTTTTCATAAGAAGTGTGAATAAGAAACATATAGACAAGTGTTCTCCTGTGAATGTAAGAAATCATCTGTAAATAACAAAGTTCTTATGTGAGAAAATGACTATTATATTATTATACAATTCCAATGATACTACAAGACATTCTTCCGTTTATAAAAATCATGCTATTTTAGTAAGCATGTGTAGTTGTGTTCTTTATTGCGCGAAAATACATTTTAGTGTAATGATACTTATTTCTATTATAGTTTTTTGAAGATTATTTGTGACATATAAATCTGATATAGGTGTAAATAAATAGAATTTCGCTCATATAATATTTTTGTTTATTTCTTCACCTCGTCTTTTATAATTACGTGTTGAAATCATTTGCATACCTAAAGAGAACGGGCTCACATGTTTACTTAAAGAGGACACTTGTAACACTTGTAATTATTGTTATTAATATAAACAACTCCAAGAAGAGAACGTACATTTGTTCCATAAATATTAGCTTCTGCTTTTCTGGCGTGTAACGATTATAACTTCACTGTCTACTATAATTTATGAGTGTGAAACCAGTAATTAAGATTTAATAGTACTTGTACGATTTAGTGATTAAATTAATCGCTACTTATAAAATTTATGGTAATTGCTACTGATTTATATAATTTTTTCATATTAATATTATTGTAGTCATCTGCGCCGTCATTACTGTCACTATCATTTTCATCACATTTTGTAAGAATGTAAAAGAGGCAAGTTTTTGTAATAACAAATGTAAGAACAATGATAAGTATTGATTCTCTTAATGTATCAGGGAGAAGTAGTAAATATCAGGAAAATTGTATAAAAATATATAGAATAAAGTGTACATAACATTAATTTGAGTAGACAACAAAGAAATATACATAATACACATCAATAAATATGATAAAAATAATTATCACTCTTCCTAGAACACGGAGTACAGTAAAGTAAAAATAATGATTTTTAAATACTAATTATATAGATACAAAAATTAAATTGTCAAAGGGAAAATAATTATTTGTACATATATAGCATATATATTAACAAATGTCTTGTAAAGAAAATTTGAAGAACATAAAAAAGCATTTTATTTAGGGAAGCATAGTATATCTGTTTTAATGTATGACGACAAGCGGTTTACATAAAAAGTAAACGTATTTGAGTTTTTCTTAAACTCCTTGAGACATGGCTCACTATTCTTGTGTGAAGGGCAGTCTTTGTAAAAACAAGTAACAAGTACAGTAAAAAATACTACTTAGATATAATAAGAAAAATTGAATTGTAAACAAAACGCTTATAATATACAATTATGTATGAAAGGGAAACAAAATTCTATCTTAGGCGAGTAATTGTAATATTAATATTTGTGATACAAAAAATTTCTGGACAGAATAGTGTGATGAATAATTCCAATATATTCTTATGTTACATTCTAACTTTGCGTACATAGAGCACTTCTCACATCTCCATGTACAGTTTAATTTTATATTAAGCCGTTTTAGTACTGTATACATACTTAGTCCATTCGTGGAGAAATAAAATCGAGATATTATATACAAAAGAATGTTGAAGATTTCAGAATCCTCTCTGTACGCATAGGTTATTAATATTTAACGAATTTTGAAAGTGACGTAGAAAACGTTTCACGACCTGTCTTGTATAAATGCTGAAAGCATTTGGCTTGTAAATTGCGGAAAAGATAATTTAAAGCACCGAAATAATTAAGCGCAATGAAACTTGAATATCATCATGCCTAAGTAATTTGTATAAAATATAGATCTGTAAAATAAAATTGTCGCATCGTGATATGTGGTGAGAGAGGTACGGTAGTAATGATCGCGAATTAAAATCAACAAAAATAGTGTATCTACCCTTCCTTTTCTGTTCAATTCTCTCTTATTTTTTTTTTTTTGTTTTATTTCCTTATTCCTTCTCAAAGTCGATTATAAATGTATGTACGCAATTTTTGTGACCTGGTTTAGTATCAATAAGTAGTAGGACAAATATCGGTTTTACTCTACTTACTACTATGAAACGATAAAAAAAAAAATTCGCGGAATGTATTTAAAATCGATACAATAATATAGTTACGTATACATCTTTGTGTAATATAAATATAATGAATAATAAATCATGATGTCACAAGTCGGAATAACGGACAGTTTCGAAATAGCCCTTTAAATATTACGTACATGTAATAAATTTACAAAATACAGAATTACAGTACTCCTACCCTAACTTTGATTCCATTAACAAAGTACAAAGAATACGCAAATTTTGATCACATGACAAACATTTTGATCTACGTTAATAGAAGTACATATGGCATTATTTTAGTTCACATTTAAGTTTTGTTATACAGCGTAATAAAAATCTTTGTAAATATATTTAAATACAATAAATCAATAACCAAACTAATGTATTTTTATATTGCATCGATACCAATGACTAATGCTTTTTTAGTATGTCACGGATACATAATTTTAGGTATGGTATTTTCCGAAATAATTTGTATTTCTTATTAATGTATGAAATGTAAGAGTAAAATATTTAGAATAAAACGGACGAGATTGTATACATTTTTATACTTAGGTATCGGTAGCGGGCAATGTTGAGCATCTTTTATTCATGAATAATAAATACAAATTTTAATTGTGTTTAATTGTGTCAATTTAAAAAAGTCGTTAATGATTTCTAATTTACGTGTACAATGTAAACGTAAATTAGTTTACGAATGAATCTAAAAATTTTATACATTATTCGTGAATAAAATTTACCTAATTTGAGGAATGCAAAAGATGTTTGGCGGGAGAGTTTACAAGGAAGCAATAAGGAAAACTTAAAAATAAACTTAAAATTCAAAGGTAAATCAGCTTTATAACGAATAAAATTTTGTAATACTTTCAATATTTATTGAATATATAAAACTTAAATTATTGCTCTTTAATTGAAAGTGCATTTAATTTTAACAGATTTTTTGAAATCAAAATTTAACCGAACGAATCTAGGGGAAAAATCTAGTAAGAATTAAAAGTTTTGTAACGTCCGACGTAACAGTTTACTCGAATAATATGATATTGCTCAAAGCTACTTATGCATATACATTAGGGGAAGGACATTGGATCTGTTGCGAAGCATGGTGCATATATGGCAATAAGCATCCAATTGGTGAAACAACATTGTCAACATCACAGTCTACCAATTGAGAATCGCCAATGTCATTCGACAAATCACAAGAATTACCATTTATAAGTTATTTTGTCCATTAACGATGTTTTAGTTTTTAACAACAACGATGCTGATATTTTCATACTGAGTATGGTCTACAGATTGGGTTACCATAATCGTATGATTATCATGCACACTTTGTTACGTCGGGATTCCGTCGGCATTGGTAAAAAGGATTTCCTTAGACTTACTTGGTTAGATTTTCCTCCGGAGGCGGCGTCGCGATCTGGCGGTAGATTTCCACGTAGCGCTGTCGTCGTGAATCGCCCTCTAGAATGTTGACGCGGTCAGGACGTTGGAGTGGCATCTTTATTGCAATGAGTCGTCCAAGTGGTGGCGTGGTTTCTCCTGCGGCAAGGCGGCGTTGCGCGTTGGCGGCGGAAGTCTCGATTTCCATTGGCGGAGCCTAAACACCGCGTAATTGCGTGTCCGCGGGTGCCGGCCGATTCAAAAGGAACGCGCGACGGCGAATTTTGTCAACGACGACCGGAACGACGGGTTCTCTTAGGCATTTCAATTTTGTAAGTACGACAATTCGCTGCTACTTTCCCAGACGGGCTTCGACGCTCACTAACCCACTGTCTGGGAAAGTGTTGAAGACTCTATTTTAATTCTGACGCACATACTATTGCCGAATTGAGTAATCACCACTAAAATTTGGATACTTTGGTTTATTATTCAAAAGAGGAGCCCTTGCGCGGCTCGGGTATATAACAATAGAGTCACAAATGATCGCGGCCTATTAATCGGGTTCTTTTCTTCCGATTGACATGTCTATCACAATGAATAACTGACTAACAATCGTTACCTAGCGATTGAATATAATAATTACTAGTGAATGAACATAATAGTTATAATGTTTTGTGATGTTGTAAGTCTAGTTATTTATAATCTGGTAACTGACTATACATAATATAGGGACGAGGGCCAGAGTGGGGAGACGTACGCTACGCGGACGTTACACTCACACAACACAACAAATCCCTATACTATATCGCGCTCGATGCGCCATCTTGAAATTCAAAGTAAAGTATGCAACATTGTGGATCTTATCTCCAATATATCAATGGTTTTAATCTTCACATCGCTGGTTGGGGGAATGAAAACACCTTCCACCTTCCCACTTTCTAATAGAATTTGTTTCTTCAGTATGCTACCGACTGTCGCGAGAGATGGGTGTGTTATTAAGTGACTGAATGATGGTTTAGTTTTTCATGAAGTTTTGTGACTTTTGCGGCGGGCATAGGAATTATGTCGACTCAAAATGGGTAATTTATCAACAGTAGTGAAGTTTAGTGCAGCACTCTTCTCCTGTCTTGTGGATTATGCGTGGGCTGAAAACGAATTACGAGGTAATAAAAATGAACTATACTGTGTTATGGTATCCTGTACTTTAAACACACGTGGTTAATCCGATTTATTAAATCTCTATGTTATCTTTTGTCTTTTATTATTTTTGGTGCTCTTATGTTTGTTCAAATCCTTTCATAAAATACAGATTAATAAGTTTTAATTAATCGAATAGTTTCTGGTAACTGTATGTTTACTATTGCTATATTGTCATTACGCTATACTTTTACAATGATATAAACATATGAATGGAGAAATAAAAATAATATCGTATCGTGTAAACAAATTTACAAAGTTTTGAATTGTAGATTTATTCTTTCTAAAATTACGTGCTCCATTGATTTTTAAGTAAAGATTTTATTTTTACATTTATTCCGTACGATTAATCGTGCGATATTACGAACCGTAAAAGATGAATACCTACTTGAAATAATATTTCGTCACCGTGTATAAAACATCAACACAAAATTAATTGTTCTACAATGCTTGCCAGTTTGCACATGCATCATATCAGAAATCCTCTTTTGATGTCAACCGTGTTTCCTTCGCGAGTCTTGTACTAAATAGTGATTTTTCTATCAGTTGTTGAGGAATAATATCTACAAATATGACATTTAAAAACACTGTCAAAGCAGTTTAGTTTCGACGATTAGTATTTTTTAAAAATTAGGATTATACAGCTTGTTGATGAACGTATAAAAGAGAAATCGATACTTAATATTTAAAAGGATAAGACAAAGTGAAGATAATGACATGAAATGTACCATTCTGTGCAAAATTTTTATAAATATTTATGAATTTTTAAATTTTAATATTCCGAGTACACATTCGTAAATATTTAACAGTAAAAAGATAGATTAATGAAAAATAGTCATTTATTTCATATGTATAGTGATTCTGACACGAAGATATATAATCTTTTAAAGAAATAACCCTATTAATAATTTCTTTAGAAAAAGAAAATATTTATTTTTTTACGGTGACCGAATACGCGTTCAGTTTTACTTATCAAACATTGTATTTGCGATTAAGTTATTTTCATCAGCAATATTTTCAAATTGAATGGTTATTAGTTTACTATTGTTACGTATATTGACAAATCAAAATACGAGTAAATATATGAAAAGTACGGCGAGTTAATACGTACGTGAATAAGTAGATTACAGAAATTAATGTAATACAGGACAACGATAAAATGTTAGACAATACATATCGCTAATAAAACTAAATGTGATTATACATTACGTAAGGATACGTGCGAAAATTATTCTATCGGATGGGGGGTAATAATAAAGTTTTATACAATCGAGTTATGCGACCAATCATGGTGGATGAAATGAAGTAGATGTTTGCGGCTTGTTTGTGCAAGTGAAAGGAGACAAGAATCGTTTTTGCGTTGTTGGGGCACGATTGTGTGTGAGTTACTCTAGGTTAGAGAACGCTACCAGCCCTGACCAGAACAAATCACCACTGGGCATAACCGTAGATGCAAGGGAAAGGTATACTACTTCTAGGATGGAAATGCTTCTATAAAATCTTCTAGAAGAAAATGGTCGAACTTAGAGATACAACGTATCGTACGGTACTCTTCGTACGTTCCGAAAAATAAAAAAATTTTGAAATTGTTGAAAAAGGTGTCATAATTATTGTTCATTTTATACGTGCATATAACGAAAATAAACAATATTTATATACTTATTTATTTTCGATATAAACGAATCCTATTTTATATTGGAATGAATTAATGAAACTTGTTAAACGACATTTAAAAATGAACTCAGAGGTTTGGTGAAAGGCACATACAGAAAGTATTTTACACGTAAATCGGTACAAGCAATATCTTCAACTTCGAGAGGTACATATACTTAATAAATTATAGTAAATGATATATTATTTGGAAGACGCGAAAAATTTAAAAAATGGCTTAAGTAAATAACAATGGCAAATCTTTAAACGTATGTTCGTTGGAAGCGTTTAATTGCTCCGATACTTTCTTTATAAGAAGTCTGTGATTGCATAAATTCATTAGTTTTTACCTTTTCTTTATTTCTAAGATAGTAGTGGCTGTTAAGGATTATGTTGAAAGCGAAACTCACACATGAATACCTTAGAACGTCTTTTTATATCGTGTTACAAGTAGAAAGCAGGTACTTAGTATTTATGCCAGCCAGATTACTAGCAATTTCTACCGTAACACTTTTATAGTGTTGAACTGCTCGGTATGTATACAGCAAGTTATGTATTTTATTCTATTTTCTTTATTTTATACACAATAAAATAACAGTTTTAACACAGGCACATCATTCTGAATCGCTAACTTTCAAAGAAAGTTTTATTCAATTAAAAACTTTTCTCCGAATGGTAATCACTTTTAATTACGTCTAAACTTCTCTTGGTTCTCTGCTTTCTATTATTGCTTAGCATTTCTTTGATATTATTATCAAAATTCTTGCTATTCTTATTCGAGATAGTAGTGTTCTTATGGAAATTTCGTCCACGTATATTATAGTTCATTTTCCTATTGGAACATTATGCTCTTTATAATTCGTCGGCCGTGTCCGGGGTTAACACCATACGTTTAGTCTTTTATCGTATGCACGTGCTACGAGCGCATCGCTAGATAGTTCGATAAGCGGTAGCATCCTGTGAGCAACTTGCTCAATATGGTACCATAGCTATCATTTAGATGAAAAGATTACTCAAGTCTTTTTTAATTAGGAGAATCGTACCGTTTCTCTCTCATAGTTATTGTTTCGTACAAGCATTACTCGGAATAATTGATGCCTCAGACTTTACATGCACAACAATTCTACTAACATCGCTGCAGATTGTGATCGCGTTTTTCATTTAATTAACAAACAAGGAGAAAGATTATTTTTAAATAATTAAAAATTTCAACAGTTTTGTTCGAACCTTTGGTTTAATTGTTTGATCATCCTAAAGTGAATTTTAATTTCAAAGAACACCATTCTTTCTACGTTTAATTAACAAACAAGGAGAAAGATTATTTTTAAGTAATTAAAAATTTCAACAGTTTTGTTCGAACCTTTGGTTTAATTGTTTGATCATCCTAAAGTGAATTTTAATCTCAAAGAACACCATTCTTTCTACGTCCAGATCATAAATTGTATTACTGCGAGGCGCGAGCCATGCATTACTGTACACGTCAACAATCTCGAAGGCACCGTAGGTAAGCGGAATCTAGACTTTTTCGAGTAGCGTACGGTGTAGAGAACTGGTAGTAGAAAGGGAAGTTGGAACGGTAGTCTCCGTGCCGAACTCCCATTTGATTTTCCAAGGTACCGTTTTCTTCTACGAATCTAGCCTGATCCGTGTGTCCAATGCAGAGTAAACCAACTTGTACCGCACGAGACCCGCATTTTCTACGCACACTCGACTCCGCCGGTTTCAGGCTTGGATTTTTCTTCTTTACGCATACACTTAACTATTGTACGAAACCTCGCAGAAAGCAGAGGAAGCGCGGCATATTTGGAATACCGGTCTGTTTAGGAACGCAACGTTTGAATAAGCAATTGCTTTTAAATAGCTTCAGGAATAAAAGTCGAACAGATTTCAATGTGCCGGATGAATAGGTCAGGCGGTAAAGGTTCCGCAGGAACCCATCCATCTGTTAGAAAATCGTTCGCTGAAGAACTGTCTGGCTACTCGACTGAAATGAAACGTTGCACAGTCATGCATAAATCACATGTGACGTACTACGTCTAATGGAACTTATTCCAATAATTCGCGCAAACGATTACACAAGAAAATGATACGAAATTGACCTGTTAATCTCTCATTAAGGAAAATAAGGTGTTATCTAACATCGCGTATAAACTATTTAGTACAATCAGTTATACTAGCTCAATTTATAATTAAAAATTATCACGGTAAAAAAATTAATAAACTAGTATTAAAAAAAGAAAACAATTATGTTTTATTAATAGTGAACATTTTTAACGACATTATTTATCGTCACTCTCTACTACACAGTCACAACAAACTTATATTCTTATTGGAGTAAAATCACTTTCATCGTTCGAAATATCCACTGTGATTTACATCGATTGTGATGATGCTTGTTTTAGTACTTCGTAGCTTGTTTAACGTTCGAATTCTTTTCTAAATAAAGAAAGTCTATTTTATGTTTTAGTATGTTTACGTAACACATCGAACATTATTTCTGAACCGATGACTAACTTTAGGTATGATAATATGCACGATAATAAGTAATAATCCTGTAAATTAATTAAAAGAAAGCTCGTACCTTTAAATATGATTTTGCAGTTAAATACGTAATAAGGTATAATTTCATAAATTTTTAAAGAGACCCAGCAACCTTATCGTCCAAATACATGTTTTTATAAAGCACACGGCAATCTTACTATCGGCATCCGGTCTGACAACTTCCGCCTTGGCTCTGGTAACTCATCGTCAGCGAAACATCTGCATCCTTCTCCTGCCCCTTCCTTCGTCATTTTCTGTTCCTCTTATCCTCGGCTATCTCGTTACCTTCTATAAGGGACTTTAATTCGATGAGAACAGTTTCGAAATACAATACTCGTGCGATAAAATAAAATAACATTGGTCTTGGATTTCCGCGAAGAGAATTTTAACACAAAGATCCACCCAAGAGTAGATTGTAATTGTAATAAGTAAATTTCTGTATTATTTCAATTGCCATTTAATCGAGAAAAACCGTTAAATTTTACTAATAAATTAAAAATTTAATAAAACAATCATGTATATGAAACTGTACGATGATTTTTATTTTTAGAAACGTCAATATTTTTTACATTTCGATAAAAAAATTTATTTCTAAATATGTTCTCGATCGAAGATACGAGATATACGGTACGACATTTAAATGTGCACGATTCGCGTCTTAAGAAAATGAACCTTGAGATTTACACAATGTTAACGGTTTTTCAATGCGCATATGCAGTGGTTCCATGACCGCATAGTTTTCTTACCGTGTCGGTTTCTAGTCTCCTCGAAGTTT